ACCAGAGAAGGAGGCGTTTGCTTCCATTTGCCTCCGAGCATGCCGAAGCTGCGCAAGCCCCCCGTTGCCGCCCCTGAGAAACCACCAAGACATCGCCTCATCCCGTTTCAAATGATGATGCGTTCTGAGGTTGGTCTCGGCCCGTTGGTTGCATGAAGGCGGCGCCGTATCTGAAGAGACCCTGCTGATCAAAGGTTGTACACTTTTCTTTAAGCAGATGCCATTTTAGCCTCGCGTCCACACACAATCCACCGCCGGCCATGCATGCCCTGTTTGCCCATGGTTCAAGAAACGCAAGAAATCAACGGCTGCAGCTGCATTACTATGCCAAGTCCTTCCATTGCACTTATGTCACCATCGGAATGCTGACCGTGCCACCATTGGTGTCCCCCAAGATTCCGGTGCAATGAGGCCTCTTCTTGCAGACTTGTAGACGTCTCAGCCGCAACACAAGGTGGCAAAAGCACTCCCTGGAGAGCCCTGCGTCCGGCTTGATGGCTTGATGCAAACGGTCTTGTGTAACGGCAACCCGTGGTGAAACTGAGAAGGTGGTTCAACAGCTTTTAACGCAATGTCTAAAATCTCTCTGGGTCTCAAACATCTTTATACTTCTGTGATCTGTGGGCGCCACGTTGCGGCACAACGGCTTTTGATGAGGCCGCGCTGGTCTTGTCGTGCTTCCTTGGACTCCATGACATGCCATGACATGTCCATGACGTGCCCTGACACAACTCCACACAGCATCACAATGCTGCAATTGCCCACCAGCTGTCAAGCTCTAGGGGCCAGGCACATCCGAGCCCCCATGAACCGCCTCGACTAACAGCTCATTGCATTCATTTTCAGTCCATTCTTGAGAAAGTGCAATGAGATCATGAGCCTGTCGATTGCGAAATCTGTCTGGCCCGAGCACCTCGGAGGACTGGCGTGTCCGGCTGGTCACGACTGCTTTATCATTCCTTACACAGCGGTCTGCCGACTTTAATTCGGAGCCCGGGCAGTGAAGACAGTATCTGAGAATAACAACGAAGAGTTCTTTGACTCACACAACCCAGACAATTCTCAAGAACTGCTCCGAGGAACAGAAGCCTTCACGCTGACGGGATGGATCATCAAGGTGTGATACGTCAACAAAAGGGTAACCTCAACATTACAGGCCAAGCCAAGCCCAGCAAACAACGAGCTGTGAAAGCGGCGTCCGAGCTGTTGACGGCATTCAGTCAATCATCACCATGGGACAAAAAGTACTGCTACGTAGACTTGCATGAGGAACTGTCAATTGCCCACCCTGTGCTAGCGTAGTTCGTCGGATGCTGTTTGGAACCTGCATCTGGCGATGGGGCCAACAGCTGCGTCGATCTGCCGCGCAACATTTGCAGCTTAGCCTTAGGTCCAGCATGCCTTGGCTCGTGTCACGTTGCCATTTGGACCCCCCAGAACTTTCAGAGAGCGATTGAAGTGACAACAGCTGGCCACTCAGCAGCGACAGATCTGACAGGCTGGAAGCGGCTCACTCCCCCAACTGCACCATCAAGCCGATTTGCGAGGCGTCCTCGGGCGAAAGCAGCAATTCCAAGTCTTGGAGAAGACCCAGCATACCTTGAAAAGAGCCGCTCTGCAAGAGGGTTATAGAGGGTTGCCACAAGGGGGTTCTGCATGCGGGTGCCTTCGGTAGTCCTGACCGGAGGGCCGAGCTGAAAAAGTCAATGGCCAATCATTCCGAGTATAAGTGTCTATGTCTAAAGTCTTGTGGAAGAATTTCCTGAAACAAGATACCGCAACATAACCGTGGTATCGAGAGGGCCGCTCGGTCTGGGGATCGTGCAGTCAATGTCTAGTTTCCTAGCATAGGACCCCAGAGACCCTATAAACAACAACCCAAATCGTAGAGTCCTGAGCCTTAAACCCTAAACCCTAGGACCCCAAAAACGAAACTCCATAATCCTAAACTCTAAAAGTGCAGAATTCTAGCCTTAAACCCTAGAAAACCTAGAATCCTGACAGCCCAGCGTTGAGGAGCACAGGAAGCACGCGCAACACCGTCAATCAATAAGTTGGTGAAAGACCAAAAACATCGAATTTCGACTTTCAACACAAAGCATGTGACAAACTAAAAACCCCGTTTGTCACACTGTACAGAAAAAAACATGTCTTTTCTAAGCAGTGTGCAACTGGGCGGGATTACGTGCTGTGGTCTGTGGCGAATCAGCGCTCAGGAGGGCTTGGGTGTACTGCTTGGGGCCAAACATGTTCGGCAATACAGGGTGTGATTTACGGGTTTCGGGATTGGCCTCGGGTCGAAGGTTTAGGGCTTAGGAGGCTTCTAAAGCCTTGTAGGATTCTAGGATTGAGGGGCTTAGGGCCGAGGATGAGAATTAGCGGTTTGGCTCTGTGGCGAATCGGCGCTGAAGAGGGTTAAGGGTTTGGGGTCCAAGGCCTGAAGTGCTGAAGTGCACATGTTGGATGATGTAGGGTTTGACTTGAAATCTAGGACCTAGGTGCCCAGCTTAGGTGTTACCCTTTGGCGTCTGACAACTTCACATTTCGTGAGGCTGCAAACTGATGCCAAATGTCCGGGTTCTTACATGGAGGGTTTGAAGGCTAGAAAGAAATCCACAGCCTCTCCTGGCCTGACCCGATGCTCTCGCATCGGCCTAGGAGCTGGGCACGTTAAGATCGCGAAGGACCCTCTCGGTGTTTTCGCGTCTCGGGCGAGGCGGCATGCGAGGCGGCATGCGAGGACATCGGACAGCATCCAAAGCATTCTCGTAGCAAGTGCCGAGTCACGTCGCGCTCACGCCGAGGTCCTGTGCACGTGCTGCGGTCCAAATCGCGCTGGTGCCTGGGTCCTGTGCACTTTTGAGGCTTGCGTCACGCCGTGTCGCATAAGCTGCAAACGTGGCAAGGGCACAATGTCATGCATTTTGGCTTCTTGGATGGGCTGGCATCGTGCGTCCGTTCAGCGATTTGCAACTCGTGGTGTTCCAACTTGTGCTCCCTTTTGCCGGGGGCGCAGCACAGGCAAAGTCGAGAGCAGCAGGAGAAGCACCCAAAGCAGGTAAGCGGGCAAGCAGACAAAAGAAAACCAGCATCCTTCTCCGGCCAGAGCCCGGCTCGCCAGGCCAAAGCGAAAACCACACCACGAACGACACCATGCCTGAGCGTGCGCTCACCTCCAACTACATGGAGTCTGCGCCTATGCAGCACAGCCTTTGCACAGAGGTAGGCCACTAGGCGTCTGTCCCAGCATGCGCCACTCTCAGGCGCCATCAGGCCAGCCGAGCACCCGGACCAGCCTCAGAACGAAATCCAGCTCACCCGGTTGGTGTGCTGCGAGCCTGACCAGCCCAGCCAACATAGAAAAGGTCGTGCTGGCTGCTGATGGCTGCTGGCCACCCTCCAAGGTCACAACTTCAGTTAACCCGGGAGTGCATTGGCGTGCAGCGCTTGTGCCAATTCAGCAACCGGCTTCCTTTTGGCAGTCCGGACGTATCGACTTGTCCCTTAAAAAGGTCCCGTTGGCTTAGCTGCGGATGCCAAATCGCGCTCTCGCCGAGGTATATGCACATTCCGCACTCCAAATCCTCCTCCTTATATCTGAGGCTTGCACCGCTCCGTGTCGCGAAAGTTTGGACCAAGCAGCGATAGGTGTTCCGACGTGTCTGACGTTTAACAGCCGCAACCCAAACTCGGCTGTGCTCTGGGTGCTCTTGGCATGCTCTTGACGTGCCCTACACACTGTTTGGCGTCTGTGCGTTCTGCTTTTTGCAATTCTTTTCGGACCGCCAAATACATTCTAGTTGCCAACCCTCGAACCCATCCAACCCACCTTGACATGGGTGCGCCAACTACCCATATCACCCCATACACTCCCCGAACGCTTCAATAGGACTCCGAAAGCTGCTCACACAGATATTGGTGTGCTTATCTTGTTACTGAACGGATTGGTGCATGGCTGCGAAATGCTCTGCACACTTCTGCAGCGGGGCGCGCCTCCCATGATAAATGTCGTAGATAATAGATGGATCTGACCTGCTACAGCCCACCGCTTGGCCAAGTTCAGGAACCATATCTTCAGTTCAATAAGTCATGTAGCTGCCATTACCTGGGGCGTTGGCTGTGGAGGGTACTCGATGGGTCTGTAGTGCCTCAGCTGCAGACGATACCTGAATATGCCTGACCACCAAGCGATGTACGAGGATGGGGCCGAATGAACCACTCCTGCTGTGCGGCGCTTGGCATCAACATACGGTGCAAGACATTGACACCATTGAGAGCTCCTGAACATCTGGATGATTTCCAACCAGGACCAGGAAGGTCGGTAACGAGAACACGGCGCAGACCCACGCAATACCTGCGCGACACCATATCAGGCTGTGACAAAACCTAGCGAAAGCAAAACATCAGCAGGTCCCAGCGAACTCGCGCACAATACTCGAAATTGCAGAGAGCTCAGCGTTGACAAATTCAAGGGGCTCAATCGACCTTGAAACCCTGAGTGGAGGCCTTGCTGCTTCCGCAGTTTTCGCAGAGGTCCAGGACGGGAGAACTGGTTGTCGAAGAAGCCCCGAACTGCCCAAGTCTGTGGCTACATGGCTTTCTTCAAGCTTGCGTCTTGTCCACAAGAAGCTACAAAGTTAAAGGGCCTTGTGGGCTCCGGAAGAACATCGCTAGAGCCGATCTACAAGGCTCGCCGCCCCATCTTTCAAATGCACTGCCCACAGTGTCAAAAGGGTGTAGCAGTGAGCAAATTGAGCAATCGCACAGAAGTCACCCCGGTGAATTTCAGTGAATCACACGATGGCGAGGCTCAGCTCAAGGCGCAGGCCGCTCGGCCGCTCTTCACATCGTTTCACATGCAACGGACTTCAACGGTATATATGTGCCACTATGTCCCATTCAGCTTCAAGCTGCTTTGTGCACTATACAGAAATGAAGGGCACCTTGCTGATGCATGACATGACAGGATCTGTACAGGTCTGGCGATATGCTGGGATGCTTCAGTTCGAGCTCCAGTTCACAAATGCACCGCCTCAGTCAAGACTGTACCAAGTCTGAACACGTGCACTTCAGAGTAAACAGAGTCCGAGGGTAAGAACGGCCCACAGCTGCTACTTTCTTCGAAGCTTCCCCAGCCCAGCTTCCTTCAGGGCTCTGCAGCCGATCTTGTCTCGAACGCTTCCTCGCTGGCATTCGCCCACACTGCCTCTTTGGATGCTCCCGCCAACACCTTGGAAAAGCATGAACAAGCTACTCCAGAAGAGAGCTGTAGAGTTTTGGTCCGGCTCCAGTGAAAACCAGCTAAAAGACTCAAAGTCAATATCTTGTGTATCTCGTCAGCACGTGTCAGGCCAATGCTGGCAGCAGCAGCACCGGCAGGCGAGAGCATAGGCATCTCCTGCGTCTCCCAAGAGCATAGACATGTTAAACACCACGAACACATATCAAACATAGTTAAACACCATACGATCATCAACTTTAATCTCGAATGTCGTTTGCCTGGATGTGCCCGAACTCCCCGGCGCTGCCAGGCCCCCCCCTGGCACGTTTGTCTTGCCATTTTCGCCTGTCGCTCTACTGCTCCAAAGATGCTCCAGGCTCTGAAGATGTTCCCGATGAAAGGTCCCTTCAGTGAAACCATCAAGCACCGAGCACCTGCAACGCTGCGATGCATCGCGAGAAGGTGCTGCGTAGGCTCCATTGCGACTATCGGTGCGTCCTGGCACGGCAAGAGTGGCTGGAGGTGTGAACTAGAATGTTGTCAGCTGCGGTCACTCATGTGCACGTCTGTGCAATTCTGTGCACGTGAGTCCTCCTTCCACTGTCTGAGTGGCTCTGCCTGACGAGTCCATGCGCTCAATGACGACCTTAGAAAGATCAGAAAGGGAGTCCATCCGGAACGTTTGAAAACACGCCTTGCGACTGACCACTTTGGCGCACTTTGCCAGTTCGAACTGCGAATAGCCCTGATATGCCGAATACTGTGCGCAAGCCACCATTGCAATGTGGTTGGAGCCGGAGCTTACAAGCCCCCGAAGTCAAGGTCTGCCCGAGGTGTGTACAATCCAGAGCTCGGGAAATCAGGGCCCGCTCCGTACCATCCGGCCGCTTGATGCGAGTTATCTTCACATCCCATGACCTGAAAATGTCAAGCCACAATCCAAGGTGGCCCTGTCAAGCCCGACAGGCAGGGCACACTTCTTGCCAGCCGACGACACGAGCGTGGAATGTTGGCCTGCGGCGCATGCATGGTGCACGGCAACAATCAGCAAGACACCAAGCTGTCCAACAAAGCATCGCGCACCAACTCCTTCCTGGTCTGGCTGGAGCATCAAGGAAATCCTCAAAAGGATCTGCACCACCAAACAGGCTCTGGAAAAGGTTGGCAGCCTGACGAGAAGACGTGCAGATGCACCGCATGCTGCTATGAATTTGGCTCTTGCTCTGCCTCGCGCAGTGTGAAGCTCCGATGCAATGGTCCGGCATCTCGCCCTTTGGCATTCAGAGCAAAGACACAAGAAGGAGGCCTGCACGGCAAGGCCTTGGCAGTCTTGGCCATGCCTCCCACTGAACATCCCAGTGTCCTGAGGGCAAGCAATGCAACACGAGGCAAAGCAGGCGACCCTTCCACAAAGAGCTTGGGCGAATGCCGAGGCAGCGTGAGCTTGCCAGGTTGGTTTGGCGAAGGGATTTCCTGGGCTCTCGCCCGGTTTCTTTCCCCACCTGCGTGCTCTTGTGAGATGCGTCAGAACAGCTGCGCCCAACTGAAGGCGCAACAACACACAGCTGCAGAACAAGTCACAACAGCTGCCACATGTAAAGTTGTGGAGCAACACTGGCCAGGAACACCATTGAAAGGCAGCGTCACTCTCCATGCTACGCTGCCTCCGTTGAACCTGAGAAGAACAAGCCCAGCTGCTAAGCTCAGCTCTCCCGGAAGTGCGCAAAATATGTGCTGTCGCAGCTATAAGTGGCTCTAAGCCCACATGTTTATCCCGTCTGTCTCCGAGTCTCGCAATGCTCTAAGGCCCAGGCCTCAAGGTCATAGCACCGTCGCTTCTCGTCGTTGCTCAGCGTTGAGTAGGCCTCTGCCAGCTCCTTGAACTTTTCTTCGGCCTGTCGTCGAAAACGAAGTCAGGTCACGGTGCAAATATGATGCTGTCATGCGTTGCAAAGTCACAAAGCAGTCTCTGGCGCACAATGCATGTTGCCTGCTTGTTGCCAGGGTTTTTGTCTGGGTGGTGCTGGATTGCCAGCTTACGATAAGCCTGACGAAGGCAATCAAGAGTTGCCAGACTGCCCAATCCAGTAGCCGACCTTCTTGATGTCCACATCCGAAGCATTTTTCTCGACCCCAAGCACCTGCCGATTTATGCAGACATACTCAACCGCGTGACAGGGCTTCGGGTTGTACGTACGATCCAAGTCCCAGAACAAGGTGGCATCAGACTCATGCCAAATCCCAGACAGCCCAAGAGCCCCAAAGGCTGTGAACTGAGGTGGGAAGCCTTGTAGTAATCTCGAGGCGGATGCGACATTGGCATCCACAGGCCGCAAGAACACGTAAACCTTTCTGTGATGTGCTAAAGCTCTCTACCAACTTGCTTTGAATACTTTGAAACTGAAAGACTTCTGGCCGGCAGGCACAGCGCAGGAAAGAAGCTGCAACATGCAATACCACACGAGTGAGCTCCAATGAAAGCCGCAGTCATAGGCCAACAGGTTCCAACAAGCCAAGCCAGTCTGCTTTTATATTCAAAGCATATTGCTTTGAACGGCTGAATGTCACATTCGACAACTTCTTCCGCTTCGCGGAAGGCGGTTGCTTGAGTAATTGTTGTTTGTTGTCGCATCATAGACAAGTCAGCTTTGAGATCAACTTAGTTCCATGAGTACAACGTTGTCTTATATGCAAAGCAACATTCCCTTCAAGACGGATGCTTCCTTGTTTGCTGACCGGGTAGCGTGTGTGCACCGTGTCATGGTAAGTTCAGCTATTTCTTCCCTTTCTTGGCTCCCTTCCTCATTCATGCCAGCGGCTCATGTTACACAACAAGAACTCGGCTCTTCCATGTTCGACACTGAGGCCATGGCTTCTTCTTGCGACCTTTCTTAGCCCTCAGAACAGGTCTCAACACTGATGAACGAAAGCAACATTCTTGCAAGAAACCGCCACGGATCTTGGGCGCAGTCCCTTTTTGCCGCCACATGTGGATGATGTCCTCTGACAAAGCAGTTATAGCAAGAGGGCACAGGCGCAAGCCACACGCCACTGGCAACATCTTTGGCAGTCATAAGGTTTCAGCCACATCCTGGATTAAGAGGTGCCGTGCTCATGTTGATTCCGAGGACTCGGGAGAAATCGGGTACACATTCTACAGGACGTCGAGATGAACGAACATAAGTTGAAGATAAGGAGTCAAAACACGGTCCTTGAACTCGTACGGGTCCGTGCGGTTCTGTGCGAAGCGGTCAATGACAAGCTTCGTCTCCAGCAATCCACCTCCTGTCAGGTCAAGTCGGCAAATAGACAGCGACGAAAACAGAGCGCAGCCTTATTAAATAACACGACCCCGGCGTGTATCGGGACAAATGGTATTACAGCGAGGCGAAGAGCGCTGTCTGTGAGTACACAGGTAACGAATGGAGCTCGAAATAGGTCTGGCCGTTGTCAAGAAAATCTTTTGTTTTTGCAAGCAACGCCCCTCGCCCTAGCAATGCTTTTGTCAAGTTGTACATTTTCTGCATACAGGTGTTCAGTGCGAGGCCCGGCAGCGTGACCTAGCTGATCCCTTTTTAGATAGTCTCAGAGCAGCCCTGCGCGAGGCCATTGCGTGCATCCACCTGGCCACCTAGCAAAAGAGCAGAGGGTTACGTTTCGGAGTGGTGAAGAGATCTGTTCCACTGCATTGAAGCCGCACGGTCAGAGTCAGCTGCAGCCAGACAGTGCGGTGGAGTCGATGTTCCTTTGCTGCTGAAGCATGCGAAGACTTTGCTGCGCGTTACCACCCACCTATGCCTATGCCTATACTGAGTCGCCCTCTGCCATGCGCCGCAGTAGCACGAAGCGAGCTGAATCTCGCGACTCTGGCGAGGTCGCTGAGGCGTATCCACTGGACGTTGTGCGCGGGCGGTGTTACGATGTGTAAAAGGCTTGCCCGTTCCGCAGGTTATAGCTATGCGGTTTTCCTGCACTGCACATGCGTGCAGGTCCTTGTACAAGGCGCTGCAAGGCATGGCCGAAGGTGGGCTCAAGGCCGTGGTCCAGTTCAGCAGTCCAAGGATTGCTTTCAAGGCTCTGCATCGTGCTTTGCTACTTCTGTGAAGAAAGGAACGTCCACGGCAGGCGGCTACAGGTGACTGATGGTGGAATCACATAATTGTGGCTTCTTCCAGCGGATAGGGGCATGGAGCGGGGAGAGCAGCGCCTCTATGAGTGCTACGAGTATCTTCTATAATCTTGCAACGTGTAGGGCGAGGAAATCATCCGCGTAGAGCCATGCCCTGTGAGGCTGCCATGCGAGGAGGTGGTGCAAGATGCGGAGCTCCAACCAACCCGTCGCCAGGACTAGGCGAGCACAAAACACACCATGTAGGGGCAGTGTAGCGGTACAAAACTCCTGCTTTCTTGACACATTGAGGTCCAATGAGGCCTATAGGAGCTGCGCGTTGGATCGGATCGCGTTGGCAGGGTCTGCATGACGAACTTGCAGTCCAGAACTGCAAGGCCTGTGCCAGTTTGTCCACGTGACCGACTGGGCGTTGGCGCAGGCCGGAACGGACGGGGCGCGAACCCCCTCAGGCAGGAGGATGCCACTCAAGTTGCCCATTGGTTGCTGACGTGGCTGAAGGTAGGGCTGCAAGGGAACTCGGGAATGGGACCGTGGCATGAGTGCAAGATGTCTTGGTCGTGCTGGCACGTGCCCTCACTGGCAGAGGTGAATGATGTTGTCTGTAGCCAGGCCCTGGAGCTGGGCGCTTGTTCTTGCCGGGATGCTCACTCGATGCCCTCAAGGGTACATCGAACCTTGGCCCGCGGTTGCATCTTTGAAGCCTTCGATAATACCGGGTTTTCGCACTTGTGGGGGAAGATTTCATGGGGTTAGGATGTGCGAAATGTATTTTGTACATACTTGTATGTAGGACTTTAATCAATCAGGTTGCAAGCGGTTTGAGACTAATCAATCAGGTTGCAAGCGGTTTGAGACTAAAGACTTTTGGGATGTAAGACTGTAGGGACAAATTATGGGCTGGTTGGCTTACTCGATTACTAAGACACGGCGCCAAAGATTACGGGTTTGCGCCGACATTATGGCCGCCGGAGATCTTCAAATCCGGCCACGCCTGCGGTCCATCGCCCGTGCGCGCAACATGCTAGCGGCTAGCTGTAGCTATGACTGGTGACCGCACGTGGCACGGACCTCCCCAGAAAGCATCATAAAGCTTCATTTTTTAGATGTGTGTTCCGCTGTCTTTTTGCGCATCCTACTAGTGAAGCTGGCTGTGGCTGTTGGGTGCATTTTTTTGGGGCACAAACCAGGTAGCACATGCAAACAACATAGTGGCACAAGAAATGGCGAAATATGACGAAGCGCATTGCACATCGCAGCAACTGTAAGCAACAGCAACAACAATAGGTTCCTGGATCAACCACAAACTGAACAAAACGAGAATAAATACTAGCCATCAAAACCTCGCTGAGCAGTACACGGACTACACCCACTGCGTGTGCAAACTGTTAGCCTGCCTGTGGCCAGCTCTGGTACAGCAGCTGCCATTGTAGTTGCCGCTTCAGGGATTGACTTGGCCTCCTCACCCAAGGATTCCTCGCTGCCAACCTCAGCTAGCATTGTGTATGACACATCGCCAGCGAAGAAATGTCACACCCGCCATCACCACCAACCCAACACTGCTGCAATTTGCGTTTTCTTTCACGGTTGCCAGATATTGCCGAACTGAGCAAATCTTGGGTTGTCTGGCCAGGTTTCCCTTGGTACGTTCCTTTCAAGCTCATGGTCGTAAGCAAGGTGCAATTTGTGCTTCGCGTTTGATGGAGAAAAACAGTGCGCTGCATGAACCATCATGATGACAGCTCATGCGAGATATTTTGCAGGATTCATGTAGGGCGACATTGAGAGAGATCCGTCAACTGCAAGATTTCAGCAAATGCCGGCATGTGATCGGAAAGTGCGGCATTCGGGAGTCGTATCATGTAATGGGCTGACCATTTAGGAAGGGTAGCCCCAGCAGCTAAAGCATTTCTCACCGCTCACCTTGCGTGTGGCCGCACGCACGCACTTGTTGCCGCATACACCCACAGAGTCTCCTACATTCCGATACTCGACAGAACGAAAAAAGAACTGGCCCGCCTCTCCTTGACAAGGTGAATGCTGACATCCCGAGCAAAGATAAGCAAGGCTGTTGGGCGAACACCCGTCCGCTTTCAGGCCACTTTAACAAGAGCAAAAACGCCGACAACGATAGGAAGATGCTTTGCAGGCGCTACCCCAAGCTCCCACTCGGTCGACTTGGACGCGTTTCTTGCACTGCTGACATTCACCACGATGCAAGAGGAGATTTTAGGGGACCCACATGAACCCATGGTCTGGGCCTAAATGCACCAGATTTGTTGCGCAGCTCCTGGGTGTCTGGCTTCGCTGCCCTCCTCGTCGTCTTCCTCCTCTGCTTCTTCTGCGGCTGCCGCTGCCCGTAAGTTTGCTGCCTGGCATCGGCTCTAGGAACCATTACTTCAGCAGCAATAAAACTGGTGCAGCAGATTGCTTGCTGCAAAGCGGCAATTGCAGCAGCATCGAAACCGCTGTCGCCAGCCATTGAGGCTCGATAGATTGCTGCAACAGCCTTCTGCACAATCTGTGCGCAAAGCTGACTGATGTTAATTTGGTTTGCTGCAGAGTAAACAAACAAAAGCTCCTATCCTGCCTGGTCTGTGATTGCTGGTATGTGCGAAAGGTTCAAGCGTCGTAGGGAATGTGCATGTGGCACAACCTGCATGCTCACCGCACGATGCATATCGCTGCAAAGTAGGTTGGTGCCTGCAGCTCAGCACTCGCCTCCAGAAAGACCGTTACAGAGAGGATCTTGCAGCCTGAAGCACGCAGACTCGTTTGGGACATGTGCCCTCTCTGACCACACGTGGCACATCTTTCTTCCGCCTGAAAGGTCCAGCCGCTGCAGCCGCTGGCAGCTAAGCAAGATCCGCCGCACGTGATCATCCTGACACAGGTGGTACCCGTAGCCCATCACAATCATTCGCAAAACTTTCGCAATACATTCGCGATCCCTACATTCGCACCATCTTAGAAGCACTTCAAGACTGGGGCCAGCACCCGCAGCATGGGGCAGGAAGCCAAGCTTAGATCCTACAAATACTATCGTGGCTTTGACATCTGCTGGATCACTGCAGGCTTCAACCAGGGCCTCCAGGTATTCACACTGCTTCGCGATGGCAAAAGGCAACTGTCTACTCAACTGGGGACCTTACAACATCTTGCAACTTTCTGGCAGATCAGAAAATTCATGTAGATATCCCCTCGCTCCAAGCACCACGCAGTTCGTCAAATCCAGAACACGTAGTCGTTTCAGATTGACCATTGCCTTGGTCAGTCGGAAGGCTGCACGCCTTCTGCTCAGAGAGTTGTTGTTTTGCTTTGCCGCGGCTGTGAGCCTTTGTACAACCCGGCTGTTTTTTCTTTTGAGCCCTGGCCGCTATGTCAGCCAAAGCTACCCAAACAACAAATACCGTCCCCTTCATGGAAGTTTCTTCTTTATGCTTTGCCATGGCTGCGAACGTTTTTGCATAACTGTCTTTCGGGTTTAAGCCCTGGCTGCAACAATGCTTGTGTGAGCGGTCTGGGGAACCATTTTGTTGAAGCAATTCCTCTTGATGGCCTATATCCCTCAGCCATACTTGCACACAAAATACTCGCATGACGGATGCGGAAACGTTCCACAGGTTTTTTGCTGGCATGCCTCTTTAGGCATGATGCTCTTAAACGCAAGTGCACATGGTTTAAACCAAGCGGGGAGTTGGGGTGGGCACAGCCCTCGTCCTCATTTGCAAACACAAGTCTCTTGTGAGGATCTTGGAGAATCACGCTTTTTTGAAGCAATGGGTGTCTAGGTTTGGGTGCTCTTAACTCAATATTGAGCAAGAAGTCCGCACAGGCTGAAAAATAAAGAAAGAAGGGGAGGGCACAGCCGCGATAGTCGCAAACCTACTCATCGTATAACGACAAAAGACTGATGATTTTCGAAACAAGTCCTCTTGATGGCACGCCGTCCTTTGATGCAGGCTTGCACGGTGTGGCAAAACCAGGGGCTACGGTCTTAAGGAAACAGGCGGGTTCGAAGTTCTCGTTGATGGCATGTTTCCTTCCATAATGCATCTACAACGTTCTTATGGCGATATTATTTCTGATTCTTTATGCATGTATGTGTATTCGGTGCATCCTTCAAGTCCTGTAGTTGTCATTTCATTGTTTACTTCTGTCCTCGAATCTGCACTTGCACCTTCTGCTTCTCTACTGGGCATCTTGGGCTTGTATGAGTGTTAAGAACTGGGTGTTCAACCTGCAGTCCCATCCGATGATCAATGCACATTCATCGGATGCTGAGCCATGTCCCCGCAGCTCCGTTCACACAGGGCTCAGATGACCATCAAGCAGACATATGGTCGCTTCTCTAAATCATGGCCCCCTTTTGGGGTTACCATTACAAGGCAGCCAAGTATTTAGCGTACCAAAAAACGGAGCAACAACATAGTTCTGCCGACAATTTCTCACACGTGCCAAAACTGTACCAATCACAAAAGCTCTTTGAAGCACACGGATGTCTCGTTTTGCTGCCACGGGCGTGTTGCCATTACAGGCGGTACGCCCTCAGACGTGGTGGTACACCGGAGTCGCCGGTGGGCAACAGCCAAACGGGGCGAGCTCGCATACAAGACAGCAATGAGCATGCCATTCACGTCGGATGCATACTTATGACGGAACTCACTGCCGAACAGGGCGGACAGTACCGAAACGCTTGAGTCACAATAGTCACAGCTCTGCCCTCACACGTGCCGAAACTTTACAACGCACTAACGCATTGTGATGGGAAACGCACGGGCGTCTGTTTTTTTACTCTGCCAATATAGGCGGTACGGCTCAGACGTGGTGATACGGAGAGCCAACCGCAGAGTATTGTCCTCGGAGTGCCCAGCCCCAAGAGTATCCCCAGAGAATCCCTGAAGTGCCACCCCAAGAAGCGCTGGAGTGCCCAACCACAATCCCAAAGAATCCAAAGAATCCCGGCAGTGCCCAATCCCGAGTGTTAGAAGCCATTTGCATAGTCAAGAGACCAGACACCTCGATTTCAACCACCCCAGCCGGACCCCCCTCCCCACACCCCTGCTGTTCAACCTAACGGTTGATAAGATACTCCGCTAGCTCCCGGAAGCTTGCTTTCGTGACTTATGTAGTGAGGTAAAGCTCTCAACTTTTGTCATCGCCAATGCATGCCAGTGCTCAAAGCAAGCAACAAGCAGTGAAAGCTTGTCTAGAGACAAGCTGTTGTGGGGGCTGAAGCTGGTCCCGGCGCAGGACTGCAGCCGGCAAGGAGAGGATCCCCAGAGCCGCTGCAAAAAGAGACGTACAAGCTCGCGTACAAGCTTGCGTAATCTTGCATACAAGCTTTCATGCTTGCTTCCGGGCTGTACGTTCCTCGTGCTCGCGCGTCATCTTTGTGCCGCGACATCCAACGGCGTGTCTAGTAGGCCACATTGCTCAAAAGATGTTTCAAGTGAAGAGCCCGCGCTCTTGAACCCGCCCTTACCACACGAGCTCAGCGGCCCAGGTAAACCTATACCATCTGCTCGGACTTGTATGAATGAGTGCAGCTGCATCATGTATGCTTGAATGCCTTGCCTGAGAAGTCATGTCGTCGGAAAACTGGTCAGGGTTGAGGGCAAGCAAGAGATGTCCAATGCCTACCGCGAACATTCTCCACTACTTCGCTCAAATTGTGACACTGCGTGGCAAAGGCACTATTCGTGCCCAAATAGCCCCCCCCAAACTTTCGCCTGGGTTGGCTTGCGTCATGGCCAGAAGGCCTAAAGGGGTGACGGAATCGGGGACAACACGGCAGAAATCGGCACATGAGAATCAAGAATTGCAACACATTGCACCTGCATCGCCAATCCGCGGACAACACACAAGCGCCAGCCTTTTCAGCCCTTAGCAGCATCTGCGATAACACGCGCTTCTTAAAAGCATTGAGCCGAAGACTTTCAATCGCATAATCCAGTTGAGGTTCTCATGCACCCAGCAGCCATCTGAACCAGTGCCTGCATGCGGCCAGGCCTACGTGCCAACAGTCACAAGTCGCCAGCAAATCCTGCAGACTAAAGGATGCAACTGTGAGGTAGAGCCTGATCGCTAACTCCCGCAGAGTATGAGAGGTCAACCACCTGACACTTCAAACAGGCTCGGAGCGGCTCGTGCTAAACGAAAAACGACCACCTCCAGCCGTCGAAGCTGGCGCAGGGATCTGTCACAGCTTTTGGGTTCGGGAATAAACTGAATACCACGACTGTCTGGCAGCCGATGCACGCTGTTCTAGCCCATGCAGAAGTATCATAAAGCATCCAATGCGGCAAAGTGGTGGCAACCACTGTTGCCTCTGAACCTATGTTTTTGGTACCCTTTTGGCCTTGACTTTTGGAAGTTTTTGTCAAGAAGGGGAAGATGGGGAAGTTTTGTTGATGGCACTTTGCCTGCAAGACCTTCCTGTGCTGCTGATGGCCAAAATAGCAAAACACAATGTGTGATCTCCAGCGTGGTATGGTGCAGGCGCTATTGATGTGTGTTTGGTTCAACGTTATCCAAGGGACCCTATGTTCAACCCCGCACCACACCCGGCCCCCGGCCGGCGGATGCCACATGCCCAACGGTCAAACGCCTTTTCGACTTTTCTGCGGGCCAAGGGCCACCCAGCGTTTTCCATACAGCCCAGCAACAATAACAATACAATCTAGCCCAGCCTGTGCCCGCATACGCTGTGCAGGATGTGAGGTATGTAAACCCACGCCCTACGGCCACTCAAAAAACACAGGTTGGTGGTGCTTGAGGTGCATGTCTAGGCATTTTGCGGCAAAAACGATTTCTTCATGACGACCACCAGTCCAATGTGGCTGGGCATGCCCCACGAACTCCTCCGTCACGGCTGGGCAACGCGAAGCCCTCACGAGCAAACAGGCAAAAAGTTGTTTGCTCCTTCCGCTACCTCCACTCCGCCTGAGCTCTCGCAAATCCGCAAGCTGCGCCACGCAGGATATGTCCGTGAGCATGCAGCAGCTGATGTCCAACCGCTCCAGTTTTCCACATCCTCCGACAGTGCTGTCAAACGCCCTGAGAACTCAAGACTCAGCACCAGTCAACGTACAAAGCCGCGCCTGCAATGATGGCCGCAACAGAAGCATCATCTGTTCGGGTACGACGAAGGCTGAGCCTACAATGCGTGCATTATCGCAAAGACTCTAAGGCCTCGGATTCATGGAGTGGCACAATGGCACTGGTGCTTCTTACATCTTAGACATCAGAGATTTGCTTGTCTGGGCCACTTGGAGGAATTTCAAAACCTGACGTAGGATCGCCACAAGCATTGCGGAAACAACACTATTGGCAGTTTGCAGACGCATGCAGGGTTTTTGGGAACACTAAACAAATTCGAACGCAACGCCTTCGTCCCAACACCCCAACCAAACCATTCAACAATGAAAGCACTCGAAGAAACCTCTGCCGAGAGAAAGGAATTCCGCTCGATGCCTTGATGATCAACATTTCCACTCTCATTTTGCACCTACATGCAACTGCCTGGCAAAAAACCATCGCAACCTGGCTTCAACCTGTCTTGAAGCACCCCAACGCTGTCTCCAATATCCGCACTGCGGCGCAACAAAGAGTGCATGCTGAGTCAAGTGCTCCCGCAGTTCTTTAAAGTTGCCTGCCTTGCAGACTGGAAGCAAGCAGGGAAATCCACAAGAGAGCATTCGGACATTGAAACATCATGGAAGGGCCATGGGCGCAAGAGCTCCCGCGGAAAGCCACGGCAAGTCAGACAGCCAGAGTCGCCTGGCAAACATGATCCGTCGTTCGCGCTGCAGAAAACTCACCGCAGCCGCATCAATCTTACAATCATGCTTGCCAGGCTGGATGCTGTCGGCAACGATGTCGTGATGATCCTGCTTGCTGAGCACCTGCCAGTTGGCAATGAGCTTTTAGACTAGATCTCGCAGCAACTGCATGCTGCCGTTGCCTCTGTCAACTTTGAATCGCTGACCAGAACAGCCTGCAAACGAGTAGCATGGCAACAGCCGGCATGCTCGTGGGGTGCATGAAGCTGTGCTTTCGTTTCACCTTGCCGCTTGCAGATCGTCTTCTGGCTCCGCTGCCACTCACGGCAATCTTGAAATGCCCCATATGCACCCACGGCTGCCACAAAGTTGTCTTCCACAGTTGTCCCTGGTCCGGCGCACCGCGTCTCCTTTTCATTCGCCTTCTCTCCCGGTATATCGAACCCACACCACTACCACATTCCGCAGTAAACAAAGCGGTGGACGATTGGAAACCTCGAATCAGCCGATGGATTTCGAAGGAACCCATCCCCAAAATATCCAGGTGTGTAAGGGAACAGTGTGACATTCACCTGCCTCGGCCGGAGTTTCCTCGAGTTTCTCGGGTCTAGCAGTGAGAGAGTACAAAACATAGCAACCAAGAACGGCTCTAGCTGGGCCATCGTTAGTTCTCGCTGGGTCAAAAGGCCAAATTTCGGCTATGAAGGAACAGCCGCGGGCACAGCAAGCCACGGCATGCCAGAGGGCCCTTTGTTGATTGCTGGCCAGGAGGTGCCCCTCAAAGCGATAGTGGCTCGCTCACTCACATATCAGCTTTCCAGCGAATCCCCTGAAATCCGAAACGCCGCAGGGCGACGTGCTCCGAATCCAGTCGCCACAAGGAGCCGCCATGGCCACTTGACCGGAGAAGCACGCAAACCAAGCTTGGGCGCCGCAGGCAGCGCCACATGTGCCAACTTCAAGAATGGCAGGGGTGCACATAGCAAGCGCTCGAAGCGATGCTGAGGCTTGAGGAGCCCAGCTGCAAGCCCCGAAGAGACAGCGAGTGAGAGTGCTCTTTATCCAATCAATATTGACGCATATTGACCCCCCCCCCCCCCCCACGATAGAGTCAATGGCACGCAGTTTTCCGGACCTTGTCCGACCCTACCTGCCAAAAGCAAGACTATAAACAAAAAACATTAATAACATTAATAAACTCAAGCCTGGCTCCCGCTAGCTTTCGTGACAAGTGCCTCCTGAAAGACTCCTTGTTCCTCTGTGGAGGAGCCGCTGATGTCCTGTATCCTGACACACAACTTGCCACAAATGCAGCCGTGAAACAGACGTTAAAAAACTGCCTTCTACTGCAGTACGATTGACGGTAAGTTTCCTGGGAAGAGGAAGCAGCCGGCAAACACGTCGCACACTCGGATCCAGAGCTAGATCCCGGCGAGTCCCTGCTGATCTCGGCCGAAGAGCCTTCCAATGTAAGTACTGCAAAACGAAAGGAGGCCTCCACGCACCATCCATGAGCTCACAGGTTGCAGGCGTCCTGTCCTTGTCTGCTTCAGGGCGAGCACGACCTGACCAAGCCATGCATGCATGTCAGTCTGAGCACGTTCACGTGGATTTGACTGACCACACAATCCTGTCGCATTCCACTGGCAAGTCGGAATCGGGGGAAGAAAAATGAGTCGGCGTCAACTCCTAGCGAAGTGTGCAACGTGATGTCCTGCCCTGTGCTGCCACAAGGCAAAGCGATAAGGGAAGAGCGGGAGTACCCATGATAAGGAAAAGCGGTGTCCCATAGGGCCATAGGGGAACCTGCAAATTTTCTGCCAAACAGGATTTCCACAATCAACTGGCATTTCTGGACTACACGACAGGCCTTCCCGGACCGAATGCACCGCTAGCTCCGCTTTCACAACTTACTATTCGTGCAAAGGGCTTCTGCAATATGACACGTGGTTGCTGGGCTGAATATGCTTCAAACAGTCTGACCTTCCAGTTGCTGGCGAACATTTGGAAGTACCTTGCAGATGCACATTCGAAAAGCACCGTTCCCAAATGCGAGATCCACGGAGACAACCTCAGGCCAAAAGCAAGCTGGGAGCACAGGAGAAAAGGTGCTGCGGTGCCAGTCCGACTTCAAATAGCTTCGCTGCAGATGCCATGGAACACCATCCTGGCAACAGTTTCAGCAAAGGGAGCTGGCAAGCATTGCTAGCTTGGAATCTGGCAAGTGTCTGGTCAATCAGGAGCTTTTACCATGAAGCTCAGTGGCAATCTTTGCTGATCATCGGGAAAACTCGCCAACTCGCAGCGGTGTTGCAATTTGCATGGACAAAATGCAGGTGCTGAGACTTTGGTGTACATACCTGTGCACTGGTCTCTCAGTACCTCTCAATACATGCCGCAGGGAGCCATTCTCCATCAGCTACAGGGCAGCTTTCGCAGAAAGGCTGTCTATGCATTCGCACTTTGCATGTTGGCGTGTCCGGAGTACACGTGCATGCCAACATACACACACATGTATACCATACACGTCTCCATTTTTTGAATCTGAGCCAATGCACGGAGCCAATACACAATAAATGCCAGGCCAGGGTCGTCAGTCACCACATGCATTCGTGATCTACCACACGGGCTCCTGTTTTGCAGACCTTCTTTTTCTGTCTGAGGTGAAATCTTCGAGCACTGCACTTGCAACACACTTCATGCATCCAGGACTACCAGGTCACAGCCAGCGTCGCGCTCTTGAGGGACATGGGCCATGCTACTCGCCTCCGACCATTTACTCGTCTCTCAGCAGCGCTACCAGTCATACAAGAATAGCTTGTGTCATAGCTGGGCTCTCCGTGAATAACTTCTGACTGAGCTGCCGACTGTCAGAGATCAGCTTAACTTGGCGAATGCCACGGTGGCAATCACAACAAGAAGCAGTTGCACACCCAGCGCCACGAAGACACCGACCATCCAGTTCTGGCAGCGCAGTGATGATACAAGCCAATCGACCAAGAAAATGCTCTTTCAAACTCGTGCACACTTCAATTTCGTCAAGACAGGTCGAGACCACTGTGTAAGCTGCACTTTCATAGGCACTGATCTCTGTAGCCGGATCCTGCAGATGCCAGACGTCCACGTCGCACGCAGATAATCGCAGTAGAATATGTTACGACATGTTACGACATGTTGTGAGTATGGCAACCACAGTATTCGAGTAGTTGATGGGCAATGGTACCGAGTCTGCACCTACGAAATAACAGCTGGCCCTTACCATGTCGATGGGTATCTGACCATGGCACATGCCAAAAGCGATAGCTTCAAAGAGCACCCCCCCACGCTGTCCTGCATCCAATAGAAGAAGATGGGATGGTTGGCACGTATGTTGTAGGCAGCCTGGCTGCTAGCGGATACGTGGCATCTGCTAAGCAGAACATGGCAGAGCAGAAGACTGCAATTCATGGTGCAAAACGATGCCCCGACCTCCGCCTGCTGAACAGCCAAACGAAAGTAGGATCGCAAATCATCGCGCATGAGCCGCAGCCCAGAGTGTGCCGTGGGATTGTTAAACTCGCCTTGAGTTCCCACTCAAGCTGTTCAAGCGCTTGGCATCCTGGCAGCCTATCCTTCTATCATTCTCCAAGAATAAGAGCGGGACCACAATGGAAGTCTGCCACATGACCAGAGCAGCAGTTGAGGCCTGTCGAAGCAACACTCAAAACTGACACGCTATCCCTTGGCTACAACTGGCCTACTGCCCAGAAGTCATAGTTCTCCTGATTTCCAGCTGTAATGGGAGCCACACAGTAGGTGTCCAAGTTCCTGGCGTGATACTTACCGCAGCTCGACACATGCATCGTGCACTGTACAGAAATTCGACCCCTGATTGGGCATGTGCCTGAACCCCATGGAGTGCCCAATATCCAGTTTTGCATCTGGAACGAAATGAATGCGTCCAGCATCCATGAGCTGGTTGCCTGCGGCGGCAGGTTACAGAAGCTGCACACGTCACACACGCACTGGCCTTTGCTGTCAGCTGGGTTGATCATGTCATACTCGTTCATATTGTTCACATCCATAAATGGGACCAAGTTCGACCTGCAACAACACGCATAGCGACAATCTTGGCCTGCATTGCACAGCAAAGTGGACAGGATCTGACCTGTAGTTCATGTTGCCGAGAACCACCGCGAGTGCAAGATTTGCAGCACTGCAGAGAAACAGGAAGAAGTACCAGGTGGATTGCCCATCTTCTCCGTTCCTGTAGGCTCTGTGCGCTGGGTTGAACAGGCAAGCAATGGCAAGATGGCTTCAGGCAGCACGCCTGAGATTTTGCAGGGCGGAGTAGGCGAGCCTGAGCGAAGCAACGTGCAACATGTCCTCCGAAGCACTCCGAAGGCAAAGAACTGCTGCGTATCCTTGAAATCCTCGGAGCGTTGCAGCAGCACCACGACTCCGGCCACGCCGATGCCCGCAGTAACCAGGCCGGGGCTGGTGTAGCGCAGGCTGAGACTACACAAGCTATACACCTGGCAGAAGAAATGACTGTGAGACTGTGAACACAGCTGGACACATGTCCTGCCCTCAGTGCGCTCCCTGCCACAGCCATCATCCATGCCAGGATGGCTATCGTGAAGATGAGCCATGGCAGCACTAAGCACCTCATATTGCGCGCAAACAAAAGGGTTTGAGGCTGTGAAGGTGAAGCATTCTCTGCACTGAACTCATTGACGGAGACAAGTGAAAGGTGTCATAGGTGTGGTAACCTTAAAACTGGTGCAACGGTACAACGTTCAACACACAACTGAATTAAAGGCAAAACAGCGACTGCACTGCTACGCTCGCCGTAGCACATGTAGTGTGCAGCAGCACAAGTATCTACAGAAAATGCATACGGCAATCCAATGGACATGGAATGACACGGCTACATCCGCAAACCGTCCTTCTACCGATTCCGCGTTACCTGCTGGCTGCTGTTGAGCTGCTTGTCTCAGGGTCCACAGTTCACAGATTCCTGGATGTGGGGATCTGCGGATGTGGGGATCTGAGGCCAAAGCAGGGCCAACGCCGGCAGATTGATACTTCTCCGCTGCGCTCGTCCGAATGGCGACTTGCCGGCTCCTCTACTCGCTGAGTGGCTGAGTGCTGCATTCTGTGTTGTAAATACGCTTTAACTACCGTATGCTCTGGCACACATAGATACACTCCATGTGCGTGGAACTCGAGACACTGACCTGTCTTGGCATCACCCTGGAAGGCTTGTGCCCTCGGAGCTGGTGCACTAATGGCAGGTGCAAGGCTCAACTCACTCAGTCTGAGTATGAAACGCACCGTAGCTGTAGGATGCATCGGATGGGTACCCAGAGTGCATACTGGCCTGCAGCCACTTGAACCCAAGGCAAGAAGTCTGCCCGCCGAGACTTGGGTTCTAGGGAAAATGAACAGATATTTCAGAGCTTTGCCTTACAAGCAAGGCCTTGCTTGTTGTCGCACGATTCAAGTGTAAATCCAAAGCCAAAACGAACCAACACACAGGTATGTCCACAATTCGGCAGCACTGGCACAATTGTTTGCTCTTCTGTTAAGTCGTGATAGAGTGCTGCACATGTTCGCCGTCCTTGGGTTGCACAATCACCGGATGGGGCATGCTGGGCATTGTCGCGAAATGTTTTTCAATGTTTGGCGAAGTTGCGCACAAAAGATGGTGCAATCGCCGACTGCGCCCTGACGTGGCTTTCAGAGTCCGCAAAGTCAGCTCCAACCCTTCTGTTGTTGCTTGCAAACTTCAACTACCAAAGCTGACCTTGGCAAAGATTCTGTTCGCCAGTCTTTGCTTGTGTCAGAAACGACGTTTTCGGATTCGCATCCCCTGGGAGGTGCAGCTGCTGCCATGACTGATGGTAGGCTATGAGGTGATGCCTGATTGCTGCCAACAGAGTCCCCTTCATCAACTGTCGAAACGTTCGTGTTGAAAGCGCAAGATTTGAAGAGTTGAGGAGAAGGTTTGTTTGTGCCTTTCGCCTTGGTCTCCCACAGGCGTCGATCTAGTCTCCGTCCCCCTTTCATCCCCAACCGTCCACCTTCCGCCCCAATAAAACACCCCTTCCCCCCTTGCCAGATTCGTTTGGGAATCGCCTGTGGGGTGGTGTCCACAAAAACTGGGCGGGTGGTGGGCCTCTCTTTGCTGCCTGGACTTCCTGGCAACTCTCACAGCTGTACATTTTCGGTCGTTTCTCGTTTGGAACCCTGACTGTCTGGAGTAGAGGGTGCAGGGGAAAACCCACGTTTCGGCAAAAACATGCCAAAAACCCTGCATCCGAAGGTTGGTTGAGGTGCCAAAGCGCAAGGTATGCCGACTTGAGCTTTTTAATCGGCCGGCCAGCCTCAGAACCTCATGAGCCTCATGACCTTTCAACCCCTACGCCAAACGCAGAGACCCGGACAACAAACACACGGGCACAGACAGCAAGGGCCACGGCCTGCTGACACTGCAATTTTTTACTGCTCGCTAATCAAGGCGAACCAAGCTTCAGGGGTCCTCCCGCAAGCTTATACGTCCCCAAGCTCACTTACGATGGGGGTTGAAAGCTTCGGGTTTTACCGTTCGTCTGCTGTCCGGCATCTTTTTCCTCGACCCGCAGTCGCTTTCCGTATCTGCAGCTCGACTGCGTGGACTGGAAACTCTGAGGTGCCCTGCGTGGACCGCAACCGTGCACGTCCCATGGTCTGGCCGGCCCGGCTGCCGAGTCGGTGAGCGCTAGCGTTTACAATTTGATGTCGACGAACTGATCCGTTTTGCGCTTGGTCGGTTGGCTGTTACCTGCGGTGTCTTTCTTTATGTCTTTCTCGTGTGCTTTGCCGAACACCACCCCCAAGAAAACTCAAATGAAAGACGGTATCGAGTCTTGAGATGTATGCAAGAAACATCAAACTTCAGGGAAATATTAGAGGCTCTCAGACACTGAGACAAACTGATACAGCAAACAGATACAACTGCCCGCATCTGCCCATTGCTGCCCATTGCCCGTGCCACCCCCACGGCAGATGGCACGGTACATGGAGGCCCTCGGAAGCTGAGCTGAAGGCAAAGAGTCAATACCGGATTGAAATGTAAGGAGGTGCAATCAATCGACTGCTGAAGCCCAAAGGACAAGACGGGTTGCACTGAAGGCACGGAAGATAGCTTTTGCAAGTAGCATGCTCAAAGGACAAGCACAAACAACGAAGCCGAGAAACACTTTTCACAAAGGGCTCCAGTCTCGGCTGTCTTTGGCCCTTGCATGCCATCGCTATCCATTGCTGATGTGAGACGCGTTGTGAAAGTCAGATCTCTCTCTCCTCTCCTGTTGGACTGACAGCGTGACACAACTCTTGCATCTGGCGTGTCAGAACTGCGTGAACCAAGGATGCTCGTTGTCACACACTGCGGCCAGTGTAGTCTTGCGTCCAGGGTGTCGCACGAGAATCCTCCAAAGAAAGGCACGTCTTCCTCTTGGATCACGCCGGCTGCAAGTGGCGAAGTCGGCCAGCAGATGGCTTGGTGAGATGCAACTGAGACAGCTTACACAAGCCAACACCTTGTCCGGCACACATATCCTTCCGCGTTCAGGTGTCGGGCTAACATCCACTCTGCTCGCATCACCGTGCGGAAGTGCTTAGCAACTCTGCCATGCAACGAAGATGGGATGCAGATTGTTTTACTGACGATGCCAGCGAAGGATCGAGCGATGCCAGAGCGCAATCTGCCCAATCCCTAGCAGCTTCGGCAGTTACTGCTAAGTCTGCTAAGTCAAGCCCCATCGAATCATCCAGCCACTCTGGTTGCAAAGTGGGGTGTGACTGCTGTGCCTGCTTTACAAGTGACAGCAAATGACCGAGCGCTGCTTCAACAAAGTTGGCTAGGGGATCCAATGGATCCTGCCCAATCAGATTCTTTGAGCTCGGAGCGACCTTGGCTTTCTCGGCCTCACCAGCTCCTTCGGCTGCGACAGTGTGCCTGTTCCAGGTGTCGTAGTTGTCATCTTGCCACTCTCTTGATTCTCCTTGTAGTGCTGACAGTGCCTCCGCTGCACCATCAAGATCAGCATCAGGTAAGCTGGAATGTCTGGAGGATTCTGAGCTGTGTGGCCTGCCATATGCGGCAATGCCCGTCCCACGGCCACGACTTGGGCGTCCCGAACTGCCGCTTCGGGCTGCTCTCAGCCGACTTAACTGCGCTACCTGTCTCGCAAGTTCTGTGGCTCGTTTCTCTGCGGCTGCACATTTGTGGCGAAGTGATCTCATCAGGTGTTGACATTCCTTTCTCACGTTTCCCGCTTCCTCCTCTGCCTTCTTTGCCCGGGAATCTGCAACAGATGCCTCACCGGCAACCGCCTCGACCCGGGGAACCAGGACGTCATACAACAGCTCAAGCTTCTGAACTCTCTCTGACATCAGCGACAGATCCGAATCCACTGCTGCCAAAAGGAGCCCAGTCTTCCCGACAACCTCAGCAAGTCTGACTGCAGCTCCTAAAATGTTTGATGCGGACCTTGACGGGATGCCAGACGTCTCCACAATCTCGGCACAGTGTTCAACAAAAGTACGGCAGCAGTCGCAAAGCAAGCTTTCCCACACCTTCGCAGAGTGGTGGTCAGATGAGCCGTCTTTCGACATCATCTGCCAGTGGTTAAGGCGGGTTCGGATTTGTGCCAGGGACGCTTGACCACAGCGAGCTGTCTGGGCGAGCTCCGATGCATGCCTCGCTGCTTGGACCCATTCCTCCCAACCATGCGTTGGAGCGGCAAGGGGTGCCATGAAAGAGGTGCATTCCTCTCGAAACCCCTGCATGCCTGGGTCCGTGCAGTCATACGGCAGTCCGCAGTACGGTATTTGAGCTGCACATGTGCGCTGTTAAGAGCACTTGCATGACATGCTACACGCTCGAATTCCGCACGTGATCGGCGCGCGGGCCTTGTTGTTAAGAATCTTACATCAGTGTGTACTGCAACATGCTTCCACCAGGAAGTACATCGTAAATTTTCTACCAGCATCCCGCATTGCCGCCGGCAGGGTGAACAATCGTCTCAGGCTTAGGTGGGCTCACTGTGACCCAACACCTGCAGAACCTGCACAGGAAGTGTTGATCCAACATTGCTTCAAAATAGCTTCTGGCTTTCTGATCTTGGCGGCTATTCACGCCTGTCTTGCCCGAGCCAATCTTGATCTGCACTTCTTCGCCTTCTCACATCATAAGAAGAAAGAGACATGCTCCCCTAAAGTCACTCATCGGTTTGAAGGCGCTGGAAGACCCGGCGTGAGAGCCTTGAATGCTTTGATAGATATGGAGCAAGTGTCCATTATTTCTGCATTCTTGTGGCGTGCACATACTTCTACTTCAGAAAACTCACGAATGCTTCGACCCGTGTGCTCACACAAACAATGATGGAATGAGAAGACAGAAGGCAAACTTGAACGATCCAAGCATGCAATAGTGGGGTGATGGCCTCCTCCTCGTTTCCTGACGGATCTCTGCGATCCTACAAATCACCAAACATTGCTGCGCGCACGATGGTGCACTGATGAGCATCCGCAAGCTGGCAACAATTCAGCTGCAGCTACGCAGATTCAAAGGGTCCGTGCAAATTGGGTAAAGGCATGCTAGCCTGCATGTGCACTCACTCCCCTGCGTTTCCGCTTGCAAACACAGCCAGAATTTTTACGACCCCATAGACGGCAACATGTTCGAAAAAAAAGCTCCTGTCTCTGGCGATTGAAAGCCATTAACAATCTCTCCATATGCTGTAAAGATGGCGCATGCCGGTGGCGGGTAGGGCGCGGCTGTATCAGAACAAGTAGATTGACGTCAATGTGAAATCACCTTCTATCTCATTCTGGCTGCGCAACAGACAATGGTGCAATGCCTAGTTGATGCTAGGGATGCAAGTCGGAATGAGCTTGATCAACTCAAATCCGACCTACAGTCGTATCTCGAGGAACAAAAACACGAGATGGCTGGAGTGAAGCACGAAATCAATGGTGCAGTTCAGAGGGAAGCCACTTTGCTTGCGAGAATGGAGCTGCTTGTCGGGCAGGTGTCTTCATTGAACGAGAGCGTAAGGAGGCTGCAGTTCATACATCGAAAGAGACGCGGGGCAAGATGCTCCTGACGGTAGGCTGTGGGCCGATGGTCATGAGGTAGAGACTTTCTACGTGACCGAGTGGATTGCTTGGGACGAGAATCTGTCGATTTGGCACAGAGGGCTGAGGAATTCCTTGAACGATTGGAGCAGGTGGAAGGCCTGTGCGAACAGTGATGGAAACGGGCCTTGAGACAGTGCCAGCAATCCAGATGACTCCAGGAGCTGGCGCAGAGGTTCCCGTGGTGGACATATGAGCCTGAAACGGCGCAAAACCCTTGGGGCTTGCAACCTCCACCCTCCAGGTCTTTCACAATCGTCCGTGCCAAAGCCACCATCGGTGAGTGGGATACCAGCAGCGACAGGAGAGGCGTTCGCAACAGTGGTGCCAGATATTCCAAATGGGCAGTGGAAGGCTTTGTTGGAGCTGCCGATGCATACTGCCGTTACAGGGCAGCCATGGGAAACAGCTCTTGCATTTACCACCTGGAAACGACAGTTTGTTGCAGTATGCGAAACGGTCAGCGGTCCTTTTGTGAGGTATGTTGAGGGACGGTTTGACGCGGCTGAAAAGCGACACGAGACACGTATGTCTGGTGGTTCCGGAGAAGCTAGCCCAACGGTAGAGAAGAAGTACAGAGATCGGGAATCACGACTGGTGGTTGGACTTTTGAAAGTTCTGCCTCAGGACGTAAAGTCAGCTGTGGTTGAAGATCCAAACACAACCATGACATCCCTTGGTCTTCTTGAGGAGGTGGTGACATTGGCTCAGCCGGGAGGCGGACAATGACATCACTATCCATGTTGACGCGAAGACTTGCACGAAAGTTGGACTCACTATATACACGGATGAGCCTTTGTTAAACTTGCTCCTGAGATTCAATTTCCGACAGCGAAGGGAGTGAATTTGATCTTGGAAACGTGCTGACGAGATCGTTCGTCTAAACAAACAGCGGCAGTCAGGTTCCGAGGAGGCGTCGACAGCAACAAAAGGCAAAGGTAAGGGCAAAGAGTCAGAAAAAGGCAAAACGAAAGGCAAGGAGACAAAGGGAAAGGGCAAGGACTGGCCCATCTAAGCCGAATGCTACAAAACGAGACAAACCCTGTCGTTTCTACTTCACTCCCGCTGGTTGCTACAAGAAGAAGCGCAATTTCAACCACGACGAGAAGTATCGGAAAGATGTCCAAGGAACGACAACGGGAAAGGAGTCTTTGGTTGGCGCTGAAGGCGGCAACGCAGCAGCAGTGGCAAAGCCCAAAGCTCAACCAAAAAGCAAAGCCAAGGCATCAGCGGCGAGAGCTTTTACGGCTAGACGAGTAAAACCTGGTGATGGGGACCACAGTGAGAGAGGATGGCAAGGCCATTTACGATTGCAGAAAGTTTGGTGCAAACCGCAGCTGCGTGGGACTAACACTTGCCACTTGAGGACTTTGAAATCTCGGAAACTCAGCGCGTGATGCGGCTTCAGAGGGTCTATGTGCAGTTCTATGATCTGGTTATCCGAGAGGCGTGTATGGGCTGGGCAATTGATCTTGAAGATGGAAGTGAAGTGTTCGCGGCAGCGATGGTATCACCAGCTCAACCAGTTTTGGTTTGCTGGAGTTGGGCCACAAAGGGCTAAGGCACCACCAACCAAGGCCGGGGCAAAGCGGCCACCAATAGTGCTGAGCGGTCAGGAGCTGTCGCAATGAATGGACCACCTGTGTTTCAACCGCCACCAGGATCCACATCGTCATCTTTCGCAAGCAGGACCCCTGAGTAAATCTTTTTATCCAGGACAGCAGCGAAAGTCGCTGGCAGGACCATCAAGAGGGCATGTTCCGACAGCAAACAAAAACGTGGCGGAGATGGTCAAGAATGAATGCGTTCTCCTTGACAGCGGAGCCAAAGAAGTGTTTTGGTCTGGACAGCAGAAGATACCACAAACACCTTTGCAACCCGCAGACGGCCAAGAAGTGGAGGCATGGCGGAATGGGGACGGTGAAATACTGATTCACGGTCGGAATCAAACTCCACGATCTCCGGCATATGAATTGACACGAGTTGGATGAGGTTTCTTGTGGGAAAGTGACGGAGCATGGCTGCGGTTTCCCAAGCACCTAGGAGGGGCGTGGCATGCACTGGATGTTTTGAATGGACTGCTGTATCATTGCGTCCGCTGATCACCAGAAAGTGGCAAGACATCAGCTGTTCCGGACAGCCATATAGCGCAGCCCGGTGATCAGTTCCGTGTTGAGGAGGAGCTTGCCGCGCAAGCAAACCTCATTGCTATCTGAAAGATAGCGAACGAGTTCCGAAACATCTTCCGACAAAGCTGGTGACCACTCGCAAACCGGAAGAGGCTTCAGCGGACGACAACGATGCCGCTCAGAACAGACCGCCGTGGAAGGCAAAGGTTCGCTCATGACGGTTCAGAGGTATCCACCCAGAATGTGAGCCCGACAGCACTCAGAATCATGGGTCATCAACTCAGTGATCACCATGACTGGGTCGGCGCTTCTGGAAATGTCGTTGGCGTTTTTAAACTCTAAGCTTGACGATGACGATGATGACGATGATGATGATATTGCCTTGTTGGAACCGCCAAGCACGCTTCGTCGCATGGGACTGGTCAAGCCCAACGTCCTACGCGAGCTCGCAAGCTCCTCTATGGATTGAGGAGAAGCCCAGAGCATGGAGCAAGCTGCGAGATGACACCATCAATGGAACCGACATACAGGGAGTAGGCGTGAGCTTTAAGCCTTGTCTTGTTTCTGACGAAGAGGACGTTTTACTTTTCAGGACGTATCTTCAGGTGCTATTGCGGACATTGCAGGGATTTATGTGGACGATGTGTTTACAGTTGGACAGCCAAACGTGGTCACAGCATGCATGAAGTTTATTGGACCCACGAAGTTAACTGGGTTCATCAGCAGAGAAGAGGGGAAACCCTTACGAGATGGTGATTTCAGCCTAGAAAGGATTCCGAAACTTAACTTCATTGGGTTGCAGATCAAGTTTGACAAGAGTGGCGCAGTCATTTCATCAACGACGATGGATCTTGAGTGAGTTGCATCAGCGAAGCTCGCTTCATCTTCGGGGCTCACAACGGCTGTCTGCTTTGGGGTACACGATATCAATTCGGCATCGCATCTTACCTATGTGGAACACTTGAAGTGGGCATACGTTTTCAGGGTTCTTCGATGTCGGATGCCACGCTGGATGTTTGGAATGAATCTTTTTCTCTTGCAGGAAGCCGTTTCCGATCGGGAGGCCTGATTGGTGTCAACAGTTCTCCACTGGCCTGGTGGAGCACCAAACCGACTATAACCGCATGGTTTATTTGCGAAGCTGAAACGGACGCCGTAGCTACTGCTGTGGCCGAAGGGGCGAGAATCCTTCCCTTGATCTAGGCGATGACCGGGCACAGGATGTTTTGGCGACAGCTCTGCTAGCACTATTGTGGTGGATCGAGACTCTTTTTCTCCAAAAAACTGGCGAACAAGAGCTTTCGCTTTGAGGGCAGCATGGTTTTCGCAACGTCGATACAACCTTGCAGCACCTGGGGTAGGGGATCGAACAAAAATTATTTGGGATCTCAAAAAATAATCTATTTCTAGGCGGATCAAAAACTAACCCTTATTTTTGGGATCAAAAATAATTTACTGAAGGCTTCGAAGGCTTCTTGCAAGCGGAGCGGAGGCTGTAAACGCCCAGAAATGCAGCAGTTCTGACCGTTCGCAAGCTCTAAATACCGAAAAAAGACAGGATTTATGCGAGAACTACTGAAAATAGCAGCATTTCTGAGTTTCCAGAGAGGCTGCAGATATTGTATATAGCAGTAGTTCTGCGCTTTCAGAGGCTGGAAATATTGTACACTGCAGCATTTCTGAGTTGCCAGAGGCTGCAAATACTGAAAATAGCAGCAGCATTTCTGGCATCTTGGCATTAGAAGTTTCAAAAAAATGCGTATACTATGGCATAGTATAGTATATTCTTGTATAATAAAAAAGATAATAATAATAATAATAATAATAATGTATGCCATTGTATATTCTTGCATATTATTGTATGTAGTTGTATATATTGTTGAGTATTGTTTTATTGTCTTGTATTTTCTTGTACTTTTTGTATACTCTTGCGTATTGTTGCATATTATTGAATGTTATTGTATCTTGTTAAAATTCTTGTATATTCTTCTAATCTTTTGTAGATTACTGTATATTATTGTATATTTTTGAATTTTTTTGTATGCTATTGCAGATTATTCTATATTATCGCGCATTATTGAAAATTCTTGCATATTATTGTATATTATTGTCTACTATTGTATATTATTGTTGTTTTGTATACTATTTTATATTATTGTATGTCATTGTGTTTTTGTGTTTTCTATATTACCGAATATTTTCGTACTTTTTTGAAAATTATTGTATATATTGTTGTATATTATTGTAAATTTTGTATAGTATTGTATATTGTTGTCTATTATTGAATATTATTGTCAATTACTGAAAATTATTGTAAGTTATTCTTTTTTACGTGTATATTGCTGCATATTCCTGTATATACTTGTATATTGTTGTGTTTTCGTGTGTGTTTTGTGTGTATTATTGTATATTATTGCTTCATTTTGCAATGTATTCCTGTATATTATTGTATCTTATTGTGTCTTCATGTTCTTTTTTGCAAAAAAGTGCTCGCATCATGGGATTGGAAGGATTCATGTGCTTTGAAGCAAGCTTGCCCGGACTAAGAAAACAGCGGGGGGTTGGGGGGGGGGGGGGCGCAGACCCCCCATTTGCAAACACAATGCTCGCACCATTGGTTTGGAAAGGATATTCATATGCTTTGAAGCAAGCTTGCCCGGCTTTAAAAACTGCGGGGGGTTTGAGGGGTGGGGGTTGCGCAGAACCCCCCCCCCATTTGCAAACACAATGCTCGCATCATGGGCTTGGAAGGTATTCATACGGCGTTGAAGAAGCTTGCCCGGCAACAGACAAACAATAAACATGTATTGCGCATTATGAATTCTATATAAAATAGCATGGTAAGAATGTTTTCTATTTTGCTGCGGGTGTTTTTTTGTTGCGGGTGCGGGGCGCGTTTGTTTTTTGCTGCGGGCGCGGGGGCGCGTTTTTGTTTTTGCTGCGGGCGCGGGGGCGCGTTTTTTTTTGCTGCGGGTGCGGGGGCGCGTTTTTTTTTTGTTGCGGGTGCCGTGGGGGCGCGTTAGTTTTTTTGCTGCGGGTGCGGAGCGTTTTTGCTGTTTTCTCTATATTTTACTACGAAAACCTCAATTTTCTCTAATTTTTAATAGGAAAACCTCTTTCTTCTCTACATTCGAATATGAAAACCTCTATTTTCTCTACATTTAGTATGAAAACCTCTAGTTTTTCTAAATTCTCTATACTTTAATACGAAAACCTCTATTTCTCTATATTTTATAACGAAAACCTCTGTTTCTCTCTGTTTTTGTCTATATCGCTCTATATTTAATGAGGAAGACATGAGAGAGGAACACATGAGAAACTAATTTTCTGTGTTATCTCAATATGTGACTTGCAATTAAAAGTGTTGTTGTTCCTCTTGTCCTATTTTAATAGGAAGCCTATTATTTTCTCTGTCTCTGAATAGGCAAACCTCCATTTTCTTAACATTTGAACAGTCTGTTCTCTATATTTGAATATCAAGACCTCTACATTTTAATATGAAAACACTTTCTATTTTCGCTATATTTTCGTATGGAAGCCTCTATTTCCTCTATGTTGTCATAGGAAACCTCTAATTTCTCTATATTGTATAGCGAAAACCTCTATTGTTCTGTAGTTTACTACTTTGTCAGTATTTTCGGACTTCTTCTCTTTATTTCATGAGGAAGACATGAGAGAGGAATACATGAAAAGCTAATTCTCTATATTGTCATAAGAGTACATGCATTATCTCTATCTATCTGTGACTCGTAGACAACAAGTGTCTTTGTTCATGTCTCATAACACAAGCTCTATTTTCTCGATTCTTTACTAAGCAGACGTTTATATCTCCATTTTTAAACGGAAAATTCAACTTCCACTATAAGGTCTGAATTTTTGTAGGAAAGCAAGCATATATTCCCTCTTTTTTCAGGGGGTTCGGGGCTGCGCAGACCGCGGCATTTAAAAACACAATGCTCGCATCATTGGTTTGGAAAGGATTCGTAAGCTTTGAAGCAGGCTTGCCGGCTAAAATTAGCGGGGGGGTTGGGGGGGGCGCAGCCCCCACCATTTGCAAACACAATGCTCGCATCATCATGGGTTTGGAGGGATTCGTATGATTGAAGGAAGTTTGCCCGGCTAAAAAGCGCAGCCCCCCCCCCCTTTCAAGCGGGGGGGAATGCTCTCATGATGGGTTCGGAAAGGATTCATTTGCTTTGAAGCAAGCTGGCATGGCTTTAAGAAGCGGGGGGGTTGCCCCCCCATTGGCAAACCCAATGCTCGCATGATAGGCTTGGGCAGGGTTCATATGCTGTGAACCGAGCTGGCACGGTTTTAAAGAATGGGGGTCGGGCGGGGTGCAGCCCTCCCTCCGCCGTTTGCAAACACAATGCTCGCATGATGGTCTCGGGAAGGATTCAATGCTTTGAAAACGCTTGCACAGTTTAAAGGAGGGGGGGCGTTGGGGGCGGGGTTGGGGAGGAAATTGCAAAACAAATGACCTGGCGGGTGGGGAGGAAGGGGGGGGGGCGTTTTTTTTTGCTGCGGGTGCGGGGGCACGTTTTTTTTTTGCTGCGGGTGCGGGGGCGTTTTTTTTTTTGCTGCGGGTGCGGGGGCGACACGCGCCAGGTCACTCACTCACCAGGGCGGCCCCCGAAAAAAGCACCCACAGCAAAAAAGCACCCACAACAAAAAAAACACGGGTTCCAAAATAGCATTAAATATATACATATATGCTTTGTTTTTACGATTTTATTATATTTTTTTGATACAAAGGTATACTATACGAAATTTTGTTCTATGATACTCTCTGTTCCATTATATTATTTTGTTGTACTTTGTTTTAATGTATACACATACATTGATATGTGTATGTATATATATATATATAAATTCTAACATATGATGTTCTGTTATGTTTTCCTACATAACTAAATATACCATTATGACCAAAAAATACATAAATAAAAACCACGGGACCGGGGACCAGAGGACCAGAGGACCAGAGGACCGGAGGACCGGAGGACCAGAGGACCACGTGACCAGAGGACCACAGCACCAAGCAACCAGAAGGCCAGAGGACCAGAAGATCAACGGACCAGGGCCAGAGGGCCGGGGTACCAGAGGACCAGAGGACCAGGGGACCAGGAGACCTGGAGCCAACGTTACCAAGGAAAACAAGCCAGGGCCAACGTTAGGCAAAAAAACACCGGGCCCGTTGTTGGGGGGGGCGGGGCCCGCCCCCCATTTGCAAACACAATGCTCGCATAATGGGTTTCAAAAAGATGCGTATGCTTTGAAGCAAGCTGGCACGACTTCTTCCTTGCTTTCTTTCTTTTGCTATTTCTTGCCTTTTTCTTTCTTTCTTGATTCCTTCCTTCCTTCCTTCCTGCATTCCTTCCTTCCTTCCTTTGCTTGCTTGCTTCCTTGCTTGCTTCCTTCCTTCCTTGCGTCCTTCCGCCCTTCCGCCCTTCCTTCCCTCCCTCCCTCCCTCCTTTTCTCCCTCCCTCCCTCCCTCCCCTTCCCTCTCTCCGTCGGAAGAACAGAATATATTATTTCTTGATCCTAAATAAACTATTTTTTGATCCTTAAATAAATTTTTTCTTGATCCTAAGCGCCACCCAGGTGCAACTTTTCGTGGCCGGAGCAACTTCGAGCCGGTGCAGGATTTTGTTAACTTCACAACGCACTATGAGCAGCCGGAGAACTGCGGGTTTGACACGAGAGTTCTTCTTTTCATTTACGCTTTGCAAAGCAACACGTGCTCCTGTCCCGGAAATCGGTTGGAGATTTTGCGTGTAATCATTTCTTTGATTCCAGGGTTTGCCGAAGGAATAGTCCAGCAAGCCAGGAACTTAGTTTTGTTCAACTAGTTTGTTTCTTTGCGCGGAAGTAGCATGAGTGTGCTGCAATGAGATCGCCTGTGACCGCCACTGGGCAGAAGAACGCGAAACACCCGAGACAGGAAAGGAAGAATAGGTCGCGGGGTACCTGGAAAGATCCCATAGGCTGGGACACATCATTGTGTTGCTTTATTTTCGACGGTGATCTGAATATCTATCTAGAGGTTGTCTGTGTTTTGCGCTTTGCATGTTCGGTGCAGCATGCCGCGCAAGGATCGCACAGCATGCTGAGGAGGAGAGTTTGTTCCGCAAGCACAATCCGAGAAGTGTACCAAGTGATGCTTGGAGCACAAACCCGAGAAGTGTACCAAGTGATGCTTGGAACGAAACAGAAGATTGCATGGCCACCTGGTGGCTCAAGATGACACGCACAAATCGAGGTGAAAGTGTCTGGGATGCATGGCGCGTTCAGGTTGACACTTTATTCTCTGCATCTACCACGACTGTATGACCTACCCTTGCGGTTTGGGCGCAATGTTGGTAGTCCTACTCCTACTCACTATTCATCAAGAGTATCCAACACTTCCTCACCGGGCGGGCCTCACCCCTCATAACCTACAAATAACGTAATAACAAGGTTGGCAAATTTTGGACAATTCCCGATGCAGCGTGCCAGGACACGTTCGGTCCTCTTGCTCGTCGCCATGAGGCTCGTCACCAGGCAACGATCGTTCTCTCTCTGTCGGTACCTGCGTGCAGACGTTTCATGAATGGTCGCCAGATTCACCCCCACACGCTGCGATTTTTTCGGGCCTTGGCCAACTCACTGCCCTTCAGCGTCACCAGCGTGCCTCCCAAACAATCACAAGTTATCACGAACGATACACGTCCAATCCTTGGCAGAACACGAATGAAGCGTGTTGAAGCTTGGGTGATCTTGGGCGATCTTGGGTCAACTTGGGTGTGGACTTGCTTCCGCCAGAGCACGATCTCGAGCAACACCACTCAAGCCAGCCAGGTATCTCATCACACGACGAAGAGATGTTCATAGACCAAATCCCAAGAAACAATCCAACAACTGCCTCAAGAGGATTCGAAAAACTTGTTTCGGAACCAGCTCTGGTTCATATGCATGACGCAGCAGCCAAGCCTGCCCACATGAGATGGCTGTGGAAATTTTCACATGCTTGAACTGTGTTCTTGCCTGGGTGGCCTTGTTGAACCGCCAAGGGGTGCCGACATCCTACTTGAGGCCACAGGTCACGAGCGCGTGCTTTCAGATGACGGTAGTTACTACACTTCTGGAGCCGAAATCAAATGTGCCTGGTGCGCTTGCCATGCGGTCAAGTACGATGATGCTTCCTCAGCAACGGCACGACACCAAAGATGCCGAGGGCGCGCAACAGCTTTCTCTCCGACAGCGATATCGAAAGAACGGATCTGAGCCTGACACAAAGATCCGGCTAAGCTTTCCACTTCAGGGTCCTTTGTTTTGGCGTTGTCTCTTGCCGGCTTTCGCCGCTTGTGCTTCGCGCGTTTGGTGCGTGCCTGTGCTGGTACCAGCTGTCGGGTGTCTCATGAAGCTCTCCAAGATGACAGAAAACAAACAGTATGCGAATGTATGCGATTTTGTTACCTTTCCCAACTTTGTCAGAACCGCCTGGCTCTTGGGGCTATCTTTCTTTTCACGAACGGGCTGCTCCTTTTCGACCTCAGGAGTGGCGAAGATGCTGCTAGGTGCTACATGCTTTGAACACCACGCAGTAAGTCTCGGCACACTCGCTGCCAGACAAGGAGAAAGCAACATCCGATCGTTCCGACGCTTGCGTGAGTACTGTACGGACATCCCACACGTTGGCGAGCAAAGTCCGGAAGCTTTCGTTCAATTTCTGGGCGAAACCTACCTACCTCGGGAAAAGCTAATCAAACAGCTGTGCCGTAGCGCCAGTTGCGAACCATAAACCAGGTCAGCGAGCACGCCGCTCCACAGAAGTCTAATGAAATGCTGTCGGCACTGCATAGTACCAAGCCCACGGCAAGGTCATACTACAGTAACTTCTGCTAAAGCAGAAGCTTCGTAGGCAAAAGTTGACGACGCGTGCCAAGACGGTGCTAACAAAGCAGTCAGATACGTCAGTATGAAACTGCCAGTGTGCAGTTGGTTCGAAATATCCAATTGCTATCGCTCTGAGTCTATGCTTGGCAGCTCGACGAAGATCCCGCTCAAAAACATCAAGCATAATAGATCCAACGCACGGTGGAAGGAAATGCGAAAGCTTCAGGTAGACGATAGAACGCTGTGAGTGAAAGTCAAAAAGTACAGAAGTGTGCTTGGTGTTCGCGGGCATCGATGGGACCCAAACATAGACGTGATCAAGGCTGCGCCATCGACGTTGAAAGGATTTGGAAAGATGTGGACAAATCGCCCACAGCCAGCAACAACGACGGACGACAAGAAGAAGAAAAACAAGAAGAAGAATAACAGCAACAGCAAGTAGAAGAAGAAGAAGACAGTGAAAGCCGACAAAAGCAAAAACAACAACGAAAAGACAACCAGTCGCATCAGAAGCACGGACCTCGAGTCAATCAATGCACATGCACTGCGAGGTTTGCCTCCTCCTGCCCCTTCTTCTTTTTCTGCGTTCCTTTGGGTATGTTCGGATCCATCCGCGCACAGGTGTCTGCATTCTGCTTCTTCTTAGCTTTCAGTTTCAAAGTTTTGCCTGCAAGGTCGTCCTGACATCCATGCATCCCATCGCTCTCAGCAAGGCAAGGACATCGCTCTCAGCTTAAGAACAAGAGCCCACTCCCATAGCTACATACAACCACCCTCCATCCAGTCCTCTACAGCTGTTGCAGCCGCTGCCGGTGCAGAGGTGTGAATCCCCACAGGTGCGGAAGCGGGTGCAGAGGCGGAGGCCGCGAGGCCAAGCCATCGCGCTTGCAGCAGGCCGGGCATGGCCAAGGTGAGCGAGGCGAGTATTGCGAGTACAATGCGGGCTGTGTGCTGTGTGTGCTGTGTGGTGTGTGGTGGTGCGCAATGCACGCTGCAATCTGCCGAAAAAACTGTGTGATTAAAGGACCGGACGCTGCCCTCGAAAAACAAGACTTACTGGGCACCTACCCGGGCTTCTTTGAGCACCTTCCGGCTTGGAACATGAAAGTCAGACGGTACCGCATCGTTAGGACAGAATTTCAGTCAGGACTGAATTTCACTGACCTCTATGAGTCTATGATGTCTGCAGTACATTCGGCTTGTTGTGACGACATGTTTCTCAACTTGCACGGTACATTTGCTTCAAACCGACTCTGGACTCAGCATTTCAGTGCCCATTGGAGGTATTCTACATTTGGCGCAGTATGGCGCAAGAGAGGCAAAGCCGCGTCAGCAAGGCCCGAGCATCGTTGGCTCAAGCACCGCTGGCAGGTCTCCCGAGATCTCTACTCATTTGCCGTGGATGCCCCACGTCCTGACAGGAAACTGCGCACAGACTGAACCGCTTGAAAATCCTACATGCTCTCGGAGACCAAGTCCCACGCTGAACCGGCGGCACCTCAAGGAAGGAATCCGAAAAACACCACACACAAACCAGCCGATAGCTGCATTAACAAATCAGATCCTGTTCCTGACCGCACATGAATGCAAGGCGGGCTGCCAATGCCAAATCTCTACTGCTAAGCTTGTCACGCTCGGAGGCATGCACACTGTAGAAGTTGAGGGTGCAGAAGGAGCTACCTTTGCATGACACGTTCTTGAGGATTTCGGAAGAATGAACTGGAAGTGAACACGAGTGAATTCGAGTGAACACACCGTCCAAGGCTGCAGCCGGTTCTTGGTAAGGAAAAGGCTGCACACTGGGTACCCAAGCTTGGGACACTGCCGTTGTTCCAACAGACGGCGCCTTGGCTAAATTCAATGCCATTCACTAAGATGACACCTCTGGCATCAATGAAGACTCTGCAGAAGGCTTGAAGACCCTGTGTGCCCCTACGCTCGCCTCCCCACAGGCAATCACGGTTCCCCTCCTCAAGTTCCACATCTCTTTTGCGGTCCGCATTCTGTTAACTTGGTTACAACTGGTAGTAAGAACAAGTAAAACCTTAATACGGAAGAAGAAACGGGTGCAGACACCATCGACATTTGCGCTCTTCTTTCCCCACCCTCGGCGAAAGGTTGTTCAGACATTTGCCCCGACATGTGTCCCATGCCTCGGGAGTGCCGAAAGCACGGTGTGCAGCGAGAATGCAGGTCCGTCACAGGATGCACTGAACAGTCTGGCCTCTCATGTTTTCTCATCTCGCCTTGTCGCCCTGTGCCCTATGCCTCGCTTCCTTCAAGAAGTTGCAAGTGCAGCACAAAATCACAGTAGCCAAGCATCACTAGTGATTCTTTCTTTGTCATGATCAAATGTCTTGTGCCAAGGAACGACGACGTCATGAAGCTGAGGGTCAGCTCGAAACTCGCCGTGTAGAGCTACGCCGGAACAGAGAAGATGGGTATAATGGACAGGATCAAAGGACAATTGAGTGAGTTTCGATCTTGAAGCACACCAAAGTGGTGCGAGAACTGCTTGCGATTTTTAGTCTAGAAGTGCAGAAGTTCAGAAGTTTTCCAGAAGGTATTGTTTGGAGCACAGGACGCCAGAGGCTCTGTTGCCAGGCCAGAACTGTTGCAGAATCAGCTTGCCCCTTGTTGCGAGAAAGCAGCTGTGCCTAGTGGAGGCTCAGCTCTGCTAAGCGAGGCTCTGGCGAGGATGCAAGCGAATTTCACTGCTGGATTGTCAAAGCCGTTTGTGGAAACGCTGCTTGGTGACACTACGACTATGCCTGCAAATTACCACTTGCGCAATACACCTTGCGGCTGCAAATCTTGCTCACTCCTCGACACCATTGCCAAGCGTGTGAGAGACCAGTTCGTGGCTACACTTGTCTCCTCGCCCGGGTCTCCGTGCCCCCCTCCCTCTTGCGACTGTCAATCATGGCATTTGGCATCCTTTGCCCATTCTCGCGGGCGTCAAAAGCAAAGCCTTACAGTGTACGGTTTGGCTGACATGAATAGGACATCTACCATTTCCGGCTGAAAGTGCTCTACGCATAGATTCTATGCCATAGAACAGGCAGGTTGGTATCTGCTTGGCTTCCGCACTGGGCCACTTGCCATGTAACGCTGGTACATGTTGGAATCAAGTGCACTCGCCTTGGGAATGCAAATCTGAAGCTGCTTGACATGCTTCGAACCACGTCACGGCTATTGGAAGGCTGAGTGTTCATTCCAAGATGCCCCCACTGCTGGCTCTGCAGAAAATCCACCAGGCTCGCTGATAACCTGCACGTGGAGGTCAGAAGACACGGAACTGGTGCATTTGCTTTGGGATCTCTTGGACTTGCCTGAGTCGAGAGGTCATGGGTGTGGGTATCAATGGCATCCCACAAGCGCCGATATTCCTTGGTTCTCTCGTCGATTTCCTGCTGTGGCCACAGAAGCTGCATGCTCGCATATGCTGTCGCAATACAGGCACCATGGCCTTCCGCATCAAGCTGTCAAATATGCTCATGGACTTCTGGAGAGAATCCACCTCGTTCAAACACAAAAAGAAAGTCGCAGCCATAAGCAACACAACCCCTTCCATCCGCTTCCCGTGCCCCTGTCTTTGCCAAGGGCTGTAGGCAAAGCCCGTCCCATAAGCGCCACACTTTTTCATCCAAGTGGACCAGATGCTTTGTTCTCTCGCCCTTTTCTTGTGCCAGAACCTCCTGTCAGCAAAGGTCTACAGAACTCATTGAACTTGAATGGGTGGCGAAGGAAAAATTGAAACAACTGGGAGGCAGAATCTTTTTGAGCGCGTAAGCTTTGAGGGTTTTACCACATGCACAGAACGGTTGGCTGAGGCCCTCGAGCCTCTATTGCAGTTCGGGCGGCCTTTTCCTTGTGCACCAGGTCATGAAGCAAGGTGTGCGCCCTTGGACCATTTGGAGAGCAAAGGCTGGGGACAATGTGTAAACACCGGCACATATTAAGCCATGGGCTGCTCCCGTATTGCCCGCTCTTTTTGCATGGCTTCATTCACATCCTTGTGACGCACCTAAGTACGCCGGCTACAATCCGATGAATCAAGCGCTGCCACGCGCTGCCTCGTTAGCAGAACGTTCACGCCCCAACAGTTCTTGATGATGCTCATGGATCTTTTCCTGGGCCGTCACAATTTTTTCAAGGTTCCTGGTACTAGAAAAAAAACGCTCCTGCTTGGAGCCTGATCCGAGCGCATGTCTCTGGCATCTTTTTCACGGCCAATGAGATCCTGTATATGTAAATGATGTCGCTCTCGCGCGGCCTGCCCCAAAGATTCTTAATCGGCACTTGCTTGCACCAGCCTTGATCTTGGAAGAACGTGTGCCTTTTCGGACCGGAACTGCTCTTGCACCTATCCATCGAATGTCGAAGGCCAGGAGCGACATGCACAGCATCGGAGACAGCATAGTCTGATGAAGATGAGTGATACAGTACAACAAGCACATCTGCGGGGGCCACAGCAGGGAAAAGCCATCAACATCAGCAGTCTAAAGACGAATGCGCGCGGGCGGTCCGCAAACGGCTAAATCCACGTGGCTGCCCCATGTCTGTCCGGCCTGCTCTCGCAACTGCCGCTCTTCGTTGAAGCGTGCATGGAGTTGCTCCTTCCAGTATTCCGGTTCACATGGGGCCAAGCACAAACACAAACAAACCCACAATCCAACATTCCCAATCAAGAACACACTTGGCCCTTGACAGAAGGGCTATCTGCCAAGCCCCTCTTTGTGGCGCGTGCTTCGCTTTTGAAAAGTTCCAAAACAAGCAACTCTGTGGCCACTGTGGACCTGTGCACCCCCCGTCAGGCGGGATAGCCCAGCATATCCGGTGACAGTACTGCTCATGGATCCTGTCATCCCTGTCGTGTAACGTGTGTAACATACCTTGCAATTGGGGTGGACAAATCTCCACAGCAGATCTCGGGTCTGTCTCCAGAAGCTGCCCTTATCCTGGTGAAATATACGAAGATGTCTGACCTTCTGCTCGAATGTTCGGATTTGCATCCTGCTCCCCGCGGCATATTCTACTTTGGCACTGGACACACGCCATAGGCTTCCAAGTCGGCCGCGTGTGGCACTGGCCGCGCGACGCAGGGCTTCGAAGATCATGCCGTAAGACGTAAGCTTCGAAGTGAGCCAGCCACGTGTGGCACTCAGCCACGCACCGTAGACTTCTTAGTCAGCCACGCAGCGGCAACGGAGATGGCCGAAGCCCCGGAAGCCCCGCCCAACAGTTGAGCGGAAAACCGTGCTCGCACTGAGCCCAACCGGCGCATACCGGCGCCAAAGACGCCTAGCCCAAACCCAAACTTTGAATCCAAAGCCCGGAAACCTAGTTCTAAACTCTGCACCCTCTGGCCACCATGGCCGCCCTGCAAAATAGTGAAAGGCTCTGAACACTAAAGCCGCAGCCTTAAACAAAGTCCGACAAGCTGAACCCTCGCACCGCCTACCCCGCTTTCCTAGATGCATTCGTCTATGACCTACACACACGAACGAGCAGAAACGAAATTGCACCTGGGCTTGCCGGCTTGCTTGTAGCTCCTGACAGCAGCTGTCATGTGCAGGCATGCCTTGGCTTATTGTGGCGGCATGAAAGCCCAAACAGCCTGTTCCGCATTAGTCAGGGGTTGCATTCCACTTTGTTATTACCAGGTGTGCCTTCTTGTGGTGCTCAGCCGAATCCCCGACTTTCTTCTCAAGAAAATCCACTCCTTACGAGGCTATAGCCTACAGCACGACACAGATGCAAGTCTCTAAGCCAAGGTCAGGATCTTCTGAGGCTCATGCGCTCTCTCAATGTTGCGTGGTTGGAGGCGTGAGCTGCCTCAACTCCGACAATGCACTACGATGCACCCTCGATACGAGTTGCTTTAAAACAGCTCCAGGGTGAGCATGGGAAGCTCGCACTACACTGAGATCCGTTGAGCCTGCTCGCTTGCCATCTTGTCGTGTGCCTTTCGAACGGAGTCCACATGGGTTCCGCGTGCCTGAACTGAAGTTTCTTACTTCAATGTATAGCGAAGCTGCAGCATGCAAGAAATAGGTACACTGATACTCTGCATTTCTCTGCCTCACAATCGACCACACGCTTATGCATGTCTTTGATCTTCTCGTGTGCTGCGGCCAACTCTTTGGCGTGCTTGTCTGCAGAATCGCCGACCATCCTTTCGATGTAGTCGAGTCTTTCCGATACGGTTGCATGGTGTGCATCTCGAACTTTGGTCTCTGTTGCTATCTTCGAATGCGAAGCCTTCAAAGCATCTACTTCTTTGGCATGCTTCTCGGCGGACTGACCGAGGCTTTTTTCAAGGAAGTCCAAACGCTCGCCCAGGGAAGCGCTATGGGCTGCAAGCACAGCCTTGTGCTCCTGCGAACTTGTGCTGTGTGACCGATGGAGCTCAGAAATACTTGCTCCATGCTTCTCGCACTGCGCGAGCCGATTGTGAACTTGCTCCAGCTTGGCATTCGCTGCCTTCAGTTCACGCTCATGCTGATCAAAGGAGTCGCCAATCTTCCCTTCCAAATACTCCAGTCTTTCTGCAAAAGATGCATGCTTGTCATCACGTAGCTTCTGCTCTTTGCTCAGCCGCTGGTGAGCAGCTTTAGTAGACTCGATCTCCAGCGAATGCCTGTTATGAGTGTCACCCATTGCCGCTTCCAAGCGTTCCAGTCGCTCTTCCACGGTAGCTACATGCTTTTGCCGGGCTTCCTTCTCGGAGTTAAGAAGTGCTCTTATCGCATCCTTGCAGGATTCACCCACATTCACACCCTGGAACAGCTCGAAACCAAGTACAACAGGAAGCACACAAAACAGGCATGCACACTCACAGTGAAAATTGTTTAGGGAGACATGCCTGCAAAACTTACAGCGAGTTGAGCGAAATTGGGGATAGCAACATGGGTGCACCGGATCACCCTCATCGCCGAGAAATCATGCTTAGTGTGGAAAAGTGACAGAGACGTCTCTGTGCACCACAACTACGTTGTTCATTCGGAATCGGCAATCTAACATTCAGGGCTCATGGTAGCTAATCTTCAGGCTGATAAAAAGAGAAGCAGAACACTAGACAGGCACGTAAGCTAAAAACATGCTCCAGATGGTCCTCCTGCTGCGTTCCAGAGACTCTCTGGTGTACCTGCTCAATCTTGCTGTGGGCCGCCTTGATTTCCCGTGCATGTTTGTCTGCTGAGTCTCCCAAAAGCTTTTCGATGTAGTCCAGCCGCTCCGACACTGTGGCGTGATGTGCATCTCGAGCTTTGGCTTCAGAGGCAATTCGCGAGTGGGAAGATTTCAATGCTTCCAGCTCTCTTGCGTGCAACTCAGCCGACTCGCCAATCAAGCCTTCCAAATAGCTTAGCCGCTCACTGACAGAGGAGTGCAGTGTGGAGAGCTTATCCCGGTGATCTTGGCTTACCTGTTGATGCGATTTGTGTAAGTCTGCCACAGCGGAGCCTGTCTCCTCGCAATTCGCAACTCGAGCGTGGATCTTCTCAATCTTATCGTGCGCCGCCTTGAGCTGCTTGGCATGCATGTCTGCAGAGTCTCCGAAGGTCCTGTCAGGGGGCATGACATTGCTCTGACCTAGCCCAGTCTGGCAAAGCACTACGTCACTATTGCAATGCACCAGGAATGTGTGAGCCAAGGCTTGAATTCTAAAGGCACGCGTACGTGACGTGTGGAACATGCGGAACATGCCACATGAGATACCTTCTAAGTAAGTCGCGCCTTTCCAAATAATCCAGCCGCTCTGCAAAAGACGCATGATGAGCATCACGAGCTGATTTGTCAGCCACAAGACTTGCATGCGCCTTCTTCAAACCATCGATCGTTGATCCTGCCGTACGATCCGATTGATGCTTGCTTGGACCCTGCTAGAACTGTATTCTGCAGTCCTGTCGCTTCACAGGTGGAGAGGCGCGTGTGCATGCTGGCGATTTTGCCATGTGCTGCCGCAAGCTCCTGGCAGCAACCAATGCTAAAACTATACAAGTTTCCGCACGAAGACTCCCCGTCAACGCATGGATCCTGAGCATGCTTGTCGGCTGATTCGCCGATTGTCTTCTCCAAAGTGGTAAGCCTTTCTACCACATTGGCATGGTGCGCCTCCTGACAAGAAGGAGTCACTGCGCGCATCCGTTGGAAGCAGACAGAAAGCTCCTTGGCTTTCGATTCTGTTTGCAGCCGGCTGTGCACCGTCTTCAAGTTTTCGAGCTCTCTGGCGTGTTTATCGGCTGAGTCGCCGATGGCACTTTCCAGATAGTCTACCCGCTCCTCAGCAAAAAAAGCACAACGAACATCTGTTTTTTTCACATGTCAGACGTGGCAACGAACATCAGAACATATCAGAACCATCCAGTATCCAGAGTACTTCCGGAGTCTTTGCATGGAGCCGGAAACAGGAACGCACAAAGCTTGAGGCCGTGGGTAGTGATAATCTGATAATGCGTTTTCAGAAGCATCTTACACCGTGGCCCCTTTAAGCTGCTCTAAGGCATCGTTGTTCTCAGAACTGTCAGAACTCACGAATACACACAATGAGAACAAGAAGTTTTGCAGGCGGGCTGAGTTGGAGCATGTGCCATGTTATGACGTTATGTACTTTCCAATTCAGTGCAGTCCTGGGATGAATGAGATCTCCTTGCTGGAAGTGCCACTGTTCCACAACTGCCCAGTAAGTATAAACATACTAAACCATCCTGAGCTCCGCGCAGCTAGCTTGCTTGTCAAAGGAGAGTGTCCACATGCATGTGTGGGTGGGTGGGTGGGTGCGCGCGCGTGTGTGTGTGTGTGTGTGTGGGTGCGTGCGGGTTGGTGGGTGGGTGGGTGCGTGCGTGCGTGGGTGCGGGGTGCGGCGTGCGTGCGTGGGTGCGTGGTGCGTGCGTGGGTGCGTGGGGTGCGTGGGTGCGTGGGTGCGTGGTGTGCGTGTGCGTTGGGTGCGTGGGTGGGTGGGTGCGTGGGTGCGTGGGTGCGTGGGTGTGGTGCGTGGGTGCGTGGTGTGCGTGGTGGTGAACGCGTGCGTGGGTGCGTGGGTGCGTGGGTGCGTGGGTGCGTGGGTGCGTGCGCGTGGGTGCGTGGGTGCGTGGGTGCGTGGGTGCGTGGGTGCGTGGGTGCGTGGGTGCGTGGGTGCGTGGGTGCGTGCGTGGGTGCGTGGGTGCGTGGGTGCGTGGGTGCGTGGGTGCGTGGGTGCGTGGGTGCGTGGTGTGCGTGGGTGCGTGGGTGCGTGCGTGCGTGCGTGCGTGCGTGCGTGCGTGCGTGCGTGTGTGCGTGTGTGTGGTGCGTGCGTGGGTGCCGTGGGGTGCGTGGGTGCGTGGGTGCTGCGTGGGTGCGTGGGTGCGTGGCGTGGGTGGCTGCGTGGGTGCGTGGCTGCGTGTGGGTGCGTGGGTGCGTGGGTGCGCGGGTGCGTGGGTGCGTGGGTGCGTGGGTGCGTGGGTGCGTGGGTGCGTGGGTGCGTGGGTGCGTGCGTTTGTTTGTTTGTTTGTTTCATTGTTGAGTTGCTTGTGACAGGGCTCGTGCTTGGGCCGCTCGTTTGCTGGGGCATTGTCCTTGCTGAGCTTCTGTTGTTGTTGCTGCCATGTCTTACGGCCGTAGAACTTGGACTGCTCGTGCTGTGGATAGTGCAGGCCTCATGCTTGAGGCTTTATGCCAGGGAAAGACAGCTGCGGTCACAGCCTGCGCCATGTCCCATTCACATGTGGATTGTGGGCTTCAAAGGCCAGCTGCACCAGCTTCGTGCACCCTCCCATAGCACTGTCGAATGCGTACGTGAGCATGTGGCAGAGCTAACGGGTATGCCCCCGGAAACGTTTTGCGTGTTTCACAATGGAAGCTTGTGCTCGCTTGACATGTTGCTGCGTGAGTTGGGACATGAAGCTGTTTTGCGGGTACGTGCATTTCCTCTCAGAGGTGGGGCTGCGCGTGATGTGGAGTCTCTTAAGACTTTCCTGGCCACCCTACTGATTTCGCATGGTGTGCCTCAGGATGCTTTGCCCAAGCGTGTCCAAGCGATCCTAGATAAAGTTCCTGTTTCTGCACTTCGCCAAGTAGCCAGCAGCGAAAATCCATGGAATGCGCTCAAGAGCATTTGCAATGACCACATGATTCGCATTCTTCAGCCGGATGAGCTGCAGGCATACTCAGAAATGCGGAAGTTGCAAAAACATGGCAGTTCACTCCTCCCCAAGGGGCTCGGTAAAGGCAGCGTTGTTGAGCGTCGGTCCAGCAAACCTTCCAGTTCTTCGCGGTTGCCTTTGCCCGCGGTACATGCGTCAGACATTGATGCAAAATCTGTTCATGTTGACGTCCAACACTTCCATGTGCCTGATGGTGGTGGGCTAGTGCGTCGGGATTCGCACAAGTTCCCGTCCGATGGCCCAGGGCTTTATGTCATGCAGCTTGACCACATCATGCCGTACCTACCGCCACGACCAATTCATCTTGATGCCACTGTCGTCTTTGTCATTGGTCGATTGGCGCCTGGCGTTGGCAAGTTCATAGAGCTCCCGGCGTGTGATGAGCATGGGAGGCCTATCCTTGTGCCTGGCACTGTCGTTCAGTTTGGCAGTGTAGTGGCTGAGTTTGCGGCCAGTTGTCCATCGGTTGAGTTTGACCCTGTCCCTGCCACTCCCGTTGAGGTCAAGATAGTCCGAGATCTTGTTTCTGATGAGTGGGAGTTGGTAGCTGTTGACCCGCTATCCTTTGCAGCACAGGCCATTCCTGCACTGAAGGCCGACGGAGTCATTTCTCATTCTTGGGCTCGACATTTCTACAATGAGCTCCGAAAGAAGTGCCGGCCGCTTGATGCTAATCATTTCCACGGCTACATCCTTGTTTTGGACTCTTCGCTCGATGCCGCCCTTCGGGACTCGGGGACCAAAGGGGTTTTCCTGTGCCCAAGGTCGCCGGAAAAAACTCGCGATCACAGGTTCCGCGTAATCCCTTGCGTTGGTCCTCTTGAGGTGACCAAAGCTAAAGCTCATGGCTGTGAGCGAGCGTTAGGGCTGACCAAGCTTCAGTCTGGTTATGGCATCCTGGTGAAGCAGGAGCATTTCAATGAAGTCAAGGCTCACGTCGCACCTGGGGCTTTGTTGGAACGTGTTGTTGAACCTTCTCGCTTGAAGTTTCTGGCTCTAAATTTGCCGAACACACTGTCGGCTTCTCAAGTTTCGGCTGCGATGCGTCAGCTGGGCTGGTCCTCTGCCAGTGCAATTCGTCCGCTGCGGGCAAAAACTTGGCTCATAGGTGCCGATGAGGCTCCTCCATCCTTCCACTTCCGCCTTGGTGAGTTCACTGTGATGGTCACACCTTTCGACCCAAATCACGGGCCCGGTGATGAAGTGTTAATATCGCGTGCGTCTGCGTCGCAGGATGAGCCCATGGAACCTAGGTTTCCCGTGCAAGAAAAGTTTGATTGCTTGCAGACTTCCTTGCGACATGAGATGCAATCTTTGCTTCGCGAGGGAATGGTCGTCGCCAGTGAAAAGCTGGAACAGCGCTTGGCAGCATGTGAACTCTTGGGAGCCGGTAATGTTGAGGCCATCTCTCAGGTCCAGCAAGCCCTTGTTGCCAATGAATCCCAGGTTTGTGCATTGGCGGGAAGGGTTCAGTCCTTGGAGGTGGATGTGAAAGCTAGCCACTCCGATATGATCCAGCAGATGCGCGAACTGTTCGCCCACCATGACTCTCGTTTGGAAAGCCGCTTAGAACAAAATTTCGGGAGTCACCACGCGCGACTCTATGCTGTTGAGCAGGCGCTTCATGAGAGGGAGGTGCGAAGGAAGGCAGATGACGCCGCGCAAAATATGCGTTCGGTGTGAGTGTGGGGTTCCATGGCCCTCGCCTGAGTAATGTAAAGGTCTCAATTTTGCGGCAGCCTCCGTTTCAGCGTTTCGGCGAGGCCCGCGTGCCAGGGCCAGGACCTGTTGAGTGGCATCTGCGTAATGTCGACGTGTCTGCTTGTCTACAAATCGGTACTCTGAATGCAGGAGCCTTGCTCCACAAAGAAGATTTGTTGTCTGCCTTGGGTAGGGGTATTTGGACTGCGAGTGAGACTCATCACACTGCTAAGGCCATCCCTGTCATCCGAGGTAGGATGCAACGACAGGGATTTCGCATGCAGTTTTCCCCCCCGGTAGCCCCGTATGCTACTGGTGTTGCGCAAATGAAAGGCTTGGCTTCAGGCACAGCTTGTTTCACCGACTTGCCCATTCGTACGTCGCCCGGCTTGGCTCCTGTTGAGGTTCGTGATTCCTCACGCTTCCTTCAATCCTTTGTTCAGGTTTCCACTCATTGCGTAGCGCAGGTCGTCACTCTGTATGGCCCGCCCGTTTCTTCAGCTCACTCCCAACCGTTACGCGCCACAAACATGTTGTTGGAAGCTGCCTTCAAAGTCGTAATGGCCTTCAGCGGTCCTGCAGTCATTGCTGGCGATCTGAACACAACGCTCGACACCTTGCCTGCTTGGGATCTCCTCCAAAACTCTGGCTGGATCGATGCGGCCCAGTGGTCAGCGCAGGCCCTCAGGCATCCATTGCAACCAACTTGCCGAGATGCGACTAGGCACTCTTTCATATTGGTGAACCCTAAAGCTGCGCAGGCTTTGCGCGTTGCCGATGTTGTTTCGGATTTCTATTTTGATTCGCACCCGCTGCTTTTGGGCTGCTTTGATTTGGAAGTGTTCAAGGCGCCTCGCTGGAAATGTCTCTTGCCAAAAGCATTTGATAAGGTGCTGTTAGATTCCAATATGCTGGAGAGTTCTGCAGCAAATGTGTCCTCTCGTCTAACAGACGTAGTGTCGGATTGCATTCTGTCTAACAACTTGGCCAAAGGCTTTCAATGCTGGGCGCAGGAGTGCGAGTCTGTTTTCATGAGCTCGGCTGTGTGGTCGGATGGCCAGCCACGTAAACTCCCTCCTGGATACCGCGGGCGCTGCCACAAGTTCAAACCAGTCCAACAGCCTTGCTCTGTTCCTTTGTTTCCCAAGGCTCGTGATGGCGACTTTGATGCAGCCTTGACTCAAGGAAACATTTTCCTGCGCAGGCTCTTGCGGCAGGTTCACAGGCTGCAGTCGCTCTGCCGGCTCACGAAGCGTATCCTTGTGCAGGCTTTGCCCCCAAATCACGGTTGCGTCCGAAGTGCTGCGCAGCTGTGGGAGGCCTGTAAGGCTGCTAAAGGATTTCCTGGGTCCTTTTGTCAGTGGCTTTTGTTCGATAAAGGCGTTTTCATGCCAATGGCTTGCCCCCCCTTACCCTTGTGTGAGGAAATTTACACTGTGGTGAGGGACTTTTTTGAATCACAGCAACGACAGTACATTCTTACAAAGGCCGCAGAAACGCGTGAGGAACTCATTCTGGATTGGAAGCGCGGCGCGGGTGGCAAGGCTTTCGCGCAGCTGCGATCCTTCGATCAACCCCCATTATCTCACGTAGTGCAAGAAATACCTTTGTCTTGCCGCAGGGTCCGGTGGCCCAAGAGTGGCCGAACCAAAATACCTCTACAGTCACTTCCGGACATCCGTGTCGGAGACGTTCTGGAGTATCATGGGCAGGAGTTCCTGGTCCAACGTGTCCATGCTGGGGCAGTGTCGGTCTTCCCCCGGCTTTCACCTCGCGAGTGGCCTCCTCGCATTCTTCTTAAGAAAACGCTGGTTGACCCCGCTGAAGCTGATGTTGAAATCAGACACACCTGGGGGCAGTGGTTTCACAGAGATGCTTCAACCTCCTTAGATGACTGGGACGACGCCATCTCCTTCATTGAGGGAACGCTCCGGCCCTTTGAGCCCATGCCATACACTCATTTTGATGTAAGAAAATGGACTCATCTGTTGAAAGGTGTCTCGACAAAGTCTGCACGTGGTTCATGCGGTTTCACTGTTAAGGAACTTAAGTTGATTCCAGCATCCATGTTGCCAGCGCTTTTTGAGCTTTTTCATGCATTAGAGGAAGGGGCGTCGTGGCCTGAGTCCCTCGTTTTTGCTATGGTAATTTGTCTGCCCAAGATTGAAGGTTCGTGCACTGCGCTACAAATCCGACCGATAACCATCTTGAGCCGACTGTATCGCTGCTGGGCACGATACAGATCAACCGAAATTGCTGAGTGGATGTCATCTAAATTGCCGCCCACGCTTGCCGGGGGAGTCAAGGGCATGTCCGTCACGGACATTAATGCCATGATGGCCCTTTACTTGGAGACTAGTTTTAGCCAAGGTTTGTCTCGGTTAGGCGGTGTGTTTGACATCATCAAGTGTTTTAACGCCCTGCCTCGCGCTCCACTGCTTTGGCTGATGCTCTATCTCGGGATCAACCCGTGTTACGTTGAAGCGTACGAGAACATGCTTTCGTCCTTTACAAGGACCTTCCTGTTGCAAGGGGTTGCAGGCGTTGCCGAATGCAGTGAGACTGGGTTCCCCGAGGGGTGTAGCCTGTCGGTCATTGTCATGACGTGCGTGGCATACTTGGCGCACGAAGTGCTGAGCACAGATGGCACATGCCCCTTTGTTTTTGCTGATAACTGGTCGTTTGCTTCCAAAACATTTGATGACTGCAAAGCCGCTTTTGACATTCTGTGTCGCTTGTGCGATGCTTTTAAACTCCGGTTGGCCCCTGAAAAGTCCTGGGTCTGGGCCACCACGCCAGATCTCCGTAAGCGCTTGCAGAATGTGTCCTATGGTGGTGTTCGCATCCCGCTGATGTGGCACGCCAGGGATTTGGGGGTTGATGTCAATTACACGCGGCGTAGGCAAAAAAGTGTTTGGAGGTCGCGTTTTCACAAAATGAAAGATTCAATGACAAAAGTCCGGGTTTCAAGACTTCCTACGCGATTCAAGCAGCGACTGGCTCTTGGGGGCGCTTTTTCCAGGTGCACCTTTGGACAGGCCTTGGTTCAAGTTTCCAAGTCGGAGTTCAAATCTTGGCGCGCTGCCGCTGCAAAGGCGCTGGGCTTCAACAGGCCAGGCGAGAACTCCAAAATAGCCTTCTCTTTGACAGGGGATAACTGCGATCCACAGCTGCTTGATCTTGTGCAAAGGTGTTGTTACTGGCGAAGGTTTCTTTGGAAGTTCCCCGCTTTCAAACCTGAGTTTCTTAGGCTGCTGAATAGCGGGGGACTGCCAAATCGTCCTGCTGGTGCTCTGGCAAAGTCTGCATCGCTGCTAGGGTGGACCCCTGAAGGTGCAAAACTCTTGCATTCTTGGTTTGGTGCTCTTGATTGGCTACGGTGTACAAGAAAATTTTTGTGTTTTGCTCTTAGCCAGACATGGATGCAGACAGTGTGTGCTGAGCTCATGGTGTCCAGACCTGGGTTCCTGTTGCGCGCTGTCGATGTTCACGGGACGCGGTCCTTGCTGTTGCAGCTTCAACCCGATGAGCTGGGCATTGTCAGGTTTTTCTTGCATGGCGGTAACTACACTAACGACGTGGTGTCAAAATGGGATTTGTCTCGTAGTTCACAATGCCCGAATTGTGACTCGCCTGATTCGAAATTTCATCGAGTGTTTCAATGCCAAGCGTATGCAGGTTTCAGGGCAAATTTCCCAGGCCTTTTTGAAAAATTGCACCAACTGCCGGAAACTGTGTGGCGATTCGGTTTGGTTCCCTTAGTTGCAGACACATGGCCTCTCTTGGTGCGATTGCGTGCCGCGCCTTTGTGTTTCCAGCATCCTACTGCTTGCAACGCGCTGCACATTTTTGTTGATGGGTCTTGCTACTGGCCTAATCGCAAGCTGTCCTCTGTTGCAGCGTCTGCTGCGGTCATCGCAAACATGAGTTGCAAGGGTGAGGGCGTTGTCCATTCCAGTGTTTTGCCTGGGTGTGAACAAACCAACGATCGCGCAGAGGTATATGCCATCGTGCTTGCGCTCCAACTTTCGAAGCAATGCACCATCTATTCTGATTGCAAGTATGCTGTTGATGCAGCCCAAGAGCGCATTGACCACTTGCATAAAGGTTCCCGCCCGCCTCTCATGAAGCACATGGATTTGTGGGAGGTTTTTGACTTGCTAGTGGCTGATAGGGAGGAGGGTGCGGTGGTCTTCGTTAAGGTCAAAGCACACTTGGATCTTACATCCGCCCTCCCGCCCTTCCTTGATATGTGTCGTCATTATAACAACTTGGCAGATTCTGCGGCGAAACACGCAGTGCGTAACGCGGAACTTTTCTCGTTCAGCCAGCTGCTTGTGATGAACGCCAAGCAAGAAGAGATGATTAATGTGGTAAAGCAATACCATGCCTTTTTGATTCAGTGTGCTCGCTTTGAGTTTGCCAAATCAGCAGATGCTCGTGCGACGCCGCGGTTTGAGATCTCGGTGTTGGATGTTTCCAGCGCTTGTTTCTCACACCAGGCGCTTGTTGAAGATGACGCGTTGAGGCATTGCCCGTACTCCCAAGCGTTTGCCCGTGCACTCCTGGCCTGGGCTAATGAGCTCCAGTGGGCCTGCAATCATACACATGCTGACACATCCATGACTGAACTCCTTGTCAACTTCATCTTCAGCACGGGGTTGCGACCGCCCGTCAACATTAACAAATTTCGTGCCAAGAAAAGGCCATCATATATGATGCGGGACTCCTGCACATGTGATGTACCGCTGGAAGCATTCACGTTTGCAGAAGACCTGCGAACATTCCAAGCGGCAGTCAAATGGTTTAGGAAAAGCATGCACGTAGCTCTCCTCCCTGGGGAATGTGTTGTGAATTGTCGTAGTCTGTACGTGTTGGGCTACAGCCGCCCAACCAAAGGTGTATCATATCGTGTCAAACATATGTGTGAGCCGGACCCTCGCGCTCACTTGCAAGATTTGTTTATGCAACGTTCTGCTCGGAAGTGGAGGTTTGATTTTCACATCGCTCCTCCGCTCAATTAAGCTCTTTATGCTCGAAGTTCACCTCTGTTGTGACATGGTCACGCGAATGCTGGGCTATGCTCACTGTAGCACAGACTACGCAAAGCGTCAAAGTCAAAATGTTTGTTTGTTTGAGTGTTTGTGTGTTTGTGTGTTTGTGTGTGTGTGTGTGCGCGTGTGTGCGTGCGTGTGCGTGTGCGCGTGTGCGTGCGCGTGCGTGCGTGTGCGTGCCTGTGCGTGTGCGTGTGCGTGAGCGTGAGCGTGAGCGTGTGCGTGTGCGTGTGCGTGCGCATGTGCGCGTGCGCGTGCGCGTGCGCGTGCGCGTGCGCGTGCGCGTGGCGGCGTGCGCTCGCGTGGGCGTGGGCGTGGCTGGGCGTGGGCCGTGGCGTGGGCGTGTGGGCGTGGGCGTTGGCGTGGGCGTGGGCGTGG